CGCTGCTGACAAGTCTCATACGACGACGAAATGGCCATCCACTCTTTCGAGGTTTCTTTCTAATGATTGATCTAACATTGGCGGATTTGTGATTTCCACGAAGGGATCGTTATTTTTTAAAATATACGCCAGAAACAGTATTTCAATGTTGATGCGTATAAAGTGTCAAATCATTATTCATTACTAATCTATTTAGTTGAAGTTATCTGCAACATATTACATCGGATCATAATTTGTCCTATGTCATGCATTGTCCGTCTGTAAAAGTAACTATTAAATTGTCTAATATGTTGAGTATAACAATTTAGAGAAGATGTCGGTACTTACTTACTTATTTTATGCCTGTTATACCCAATGGAGCGGTCAGTCAGTCAGTCAGTTGCAACGTAGAACTTCGTACGTATGTACATAAGTTCATGTTGCCATATCACACAAGCACAGAGACGCAAATGTCAAATCAAATCCCACAGTGATAAAGATAGTGGAGGTATTAATGGTAATGAAGAATACTAGGGTTTGAAGATATTATTCAAGAAGTGTAATTCAGTGAGATAAGGTTAGAAAGACAAAGGTAGATGTTCTGCCGAATCCAGAAGATTAGGATTTGAGAGAGCTCAAAGAATGGATGCCCTTGGGCCATTGCAAACGATTTTGAGCCATATCGTTCAAGGTCTCTAACCATTGGTGACTTTCGTCTTGCGGACCACAATCAACTAGTCTACATCTACCAACATGACTCAGACCACTTGTCAGTTAGCAATGATGAACATGAACTTACAAAGACAGACTAAATTTCGATCCTAAATATCAAAAATTGAACTGACGAAATAACATTTTCAGACCATTTTACTCTTTGTAAGATTATTGACCATTCTTATATTTTTCTAAAAATACTGCAGTATGCATATTCTTCGGAATACAGTGAAAAGCTTTCAGATAATCTATCTCTTTTACAGTGCAGAAGACAATAAATTCAGGAGAAGACAGCCAGTGTAGCACTAGCAGCCTCTGTTGCAGTTGTGTTCAACTTACATAAAGGAGAAAACAAGATAGTCCGAAGCAACATCGCATAATCCAATCAAATCACACTTGATGGAGAAGCTTAGGAAGATGTGGGAACCTTCGATATTGATGTAAAGACACGAATTAGCAAAGAATGAGCGAAATTCCTATAATTGGACAACATCTGGTACTCAAAACAACTACTGGCAAACATCAAAGTCAGAATTTCCATTACAAACCACAAAACAGTTATGTTGTATAGAATGAAAACTTCCAAAATTATAAAAGCCATTATCCACTAGATGTAGGTATTTATTAACAGTGGTCTACGCGAGGTACAGAAGATCCACTGGCCACACACTATCAGTAACAATCTCTTATGGGAGAGAACAAACCAAAATTCCAGCAAACCAAGAAATCAGAAATAAGGATACACACTGAGGAAATCACCCAACTACATCACAAGACAAGCTCTCATGTAGACTACTGAAGACCACAGGAGAAGACAAAGACCCAAAAACTCTTTACACCCAAAAATCAGAAGCAGACATGAAAAAGAATGAATGAAGTAAAACTAGAAAGGTAGTGTGGAGCGAGCTACTTATAAGTAGTATATGATGTGAGTGTAAACGTAATGTCTGGCAGCAGAAGATGGGGTAAGATCAAAAAAGGAAGAAGAGTGGGAACACAATGGAATTTGTATGAAACGCATGAATAGTGACAATGGATTGATGTTTTGCAACAGGAACAGTCCAGTTCGATATGATGTACTGATATTTTGCAAATTAACTAACGATTTACGATATGGTTTTCCTATTTTACTGAGTAACTGTGTAATTTTCGTTAAATACGATTCGGTTTCCCCACCTGTGTTCTCCTTCACTACAGTTGGTCTATGAGAGAGTTGGTTAGTAAATACTTGTTGGATTGGATTTCGTTCTACGAGTACCAATATCATTTACGGAAATTCATCAGAAAATCCCCTTTTTCATACACCAATTAACTAATCAAACATGCTTTCTTCGTTATCTCACATCTATCCTGACACTTTATTCTTTCCCTGATTATAATTTAAATCCTCCAGAAATAAAGAAGCGAAACAATCATTCTTGAATATTGAACACAAACAAAAATTTATTGAACGTTGAACACGCTGCAACCTAAGCGTAGCGCAATCTATCCACGTTAAATAGAGCTGTAAACCATACTGATTGGTGTTGATTTGTAAATCACGTGATTAACAAGGTCATTTAGAGTAGTAGTACTAGTAGTAATAGTTGTTGTTGTACAATGTCTCTTTATCTACCGTGACAATCTTTCAAACAAACAAATAAGTAAGTAAATTGTCAATTTTTTAGGAATTGTTCACACACACACACAAATAAAAGAATGGAAACCTTATTTTTCTTTTGATGTAAACAATATTACTAGTACATAATTAATTATTTTCATGATTATTTTCTGCTCAATTGACTTGTTTATTGAAACAAATCAACATCCTTGTTATTTGTTCAGATAAACAAACATGATTAGAATTGATACTATTGAATAATAGTGGTTAATTTTTTAAAAAAAGTAACCATTGGAAATGTTGAATACAATTTTTGAGAAATAATTTAATTAATTTCCGTAAATTTCATTATTTTTCTAAAAAATTTAGTTGTGTAATGAAGGAGAACACATGTGAGGGAAACCGAATTGTATTTAACAAAAATTACACAGTTACTCAGTAAAATAGGAAAACCATATCGTAAATCGTTAGTTAATTTGCAAAATATCAATCCATCATATCGAACTGGACTGTTCCTGTTGCCAAACATCAATCCATTGTCACTACTATTCATGCGTTTCCTGTAGGTTCTATAATATCAGGAAGGTCGGTGAGTTAGACTAAAAGCAGAAATTTCAGTTAAGATCTGACGGTGAAGACGTCAGTCAGTCAGTCAGTTGCAACATAGAACTTCGTACGTATGAACATATGTTCATGTTGCCATATCACACGAGCACAGAGACGCAAATGTCAAATCAAATCCCATAGTGATTAAGATAGTAGAGGTATTAATGGTAATGAAGAAGACTAGGGTTTGAAGATATTATTCAAGAAGTGTAATTCAGTGAGATAAGGTTAGAAAGACAAAGGTAGAGGTGTTGACAAATTCAGAAGATTAGGATTTGAGAGAGCTCAAAGAATGGATGCACTTGTGCCATTGCAAACGATTTTGAGCCATATCGTTCAAGGTCTCTAACCATTGGTGACTTTCGTCTCGCGGACCCCAACCAGATAGTCTACATCAACCAACATGACTCATTCCACTAGTCAGTGACTTCATGGATTTCTGTCATGTTTTGGTCTGGCCGCTCCTAGCTTTCTTCCAACCTACTCCTTCATCACAAAACATAGCTCGTCGAGGCAGTCGGTGGTTAGCCATACGTAACACATGTCCCAACCACCTCAACTGATGAAGTTTCACCACTGCATCTACTGATCTGCCATTCTCACCTAGTACTCGTTTCCTAACGACGGCATTGCTTACTCGGTTGTCCCACGAATTACGAGCATTGCTTCTTAAACATCTTTGATCGAATACTAGTAACCTGCGAACATCTTCTACTCTTAAGATGTTCGTAGGTTACTAGTGAAGACGTACTGCTGACTGTAGAGGGGTTGTGATAGTAGCAAGGCCTATCCCCTCAGACTACCAGCATCTGCAGTGATGCTCTGCATTCACACAAGCAAGGAAGGGGTTAGAAAAGGTCGACCTTAGAAAAACTGTCACATCTCACCTTACCCCATGGATATCTGTCTCCGGTGGTAAAGTCTTTTGCACAGTGTAGCTAACACTTTAAAAACTCAGCATGAAAAGCTGCGTGCAACATCGAACTGACCGGACTTATGATCGATTCGTGATTTCAACGAAACTTAAAAATCTTCACAACCCTATAATGAAATTTTTCATGTTTTCACTAGTGACCAGCTCCTTGAGGAAATTACTAGAGTTATAGTGAGAAGCAGTGATCAGTGGAATTCAACCGTGTGGAAAATGAAGCAGTACTCATCGAGGACAATGGATGAGGTTGAGTAATACCATGGTTTGTTAGAAGTTAGACATTCACACCGCTAAATGCCACCTCAGGAATCTAGGACTTAAGCCTTTGTGTGTGGTCCCTTGTCGGGTTCCTAAGAGCATTGACTGTCGTGGACGCACACTGTCACTGATGAGTCCCACTTACTAGGACAAAACATCTATCCAATGCTTCCAGGTCTGTTTCTCATGATTGGTCTAACATTGATCGATTATTCATGATTTCAAGCAAACTCTATTCGTCAACTACTGTGATAACTATCGATGATAAAAATCTATACTTCGTTGATTTTTGTAATGAGAAAAAAAACTTTGGATAATTTGCCTATCAACATCATCATCCATGTTAAACACAGACACACACACACAAACATATTACATGTGTCATTGGGATGGAAACACCACACACCATGCACGCACGCACACACACAAACACACTGACACACATACTACCTGTAAACACACACGTACACCCACTAATAAAAAAAATATGAAATGTACATTGATCTGTTAGATCATGAAACCGATGGAATGTTCGGGTATCATTAGAAAACAAAACACCGATTAGTCATTCACAGTTAATTACACACTGACACACCAACACACAATCGACAGCATAAATTCTTTGAGAATGCATGCCAATGTACATAGTTCTATCCACTTTTTTTTCTATTCAGCTAATCGACACTGACACATACTACTTATTGAGAATTATAAGTAGTAAAAAAAATAAAAAGGAAGTAAGGAAGAAAGAATGAACGGACAACTCGTTCAATGATTGGTTAACTTGAGAATTGACATAACAGAATACATACACACACACTCTCTATGAAGCATCTATTATGGCCAATACGAACAAGGTTGGTTTTGTATGACTCGTTTACTTTTTTTATTCAACTTTCAATATATGTATATTGAATATTGATACAAATCAAACAGAAAAATTAATTTATTCGGTACTTATATATTGAAACAACGAATACAAACAGTTGTTACACGTGAAGAGAGAGACTGAACGAAACAGAGAGAGAGAGAGATAGAGACAATTGAATCAAGTCAAGCATTGATCATTGAATACTCCGCGATTGTGTACAGTTAAACAAAACAGAATTGAACACCGGGCAAAAACTCAGTGAATTTGCTTTGTAAGTCATCAAAAATTTTGCACATTATATTATAAATATTTAAAAATTTTTTTTAAAATGTGATGTAAAATTAAAACTTTTTTTATCAAACATTTTAATCTCATAAGGATTGTTGTTTGATTAGAATGAAAAGGGTTATTCCTGTATTGTGTTATATTCTGAGTGAATATCTCAATAAGTTCATGGTCTATATTTTTATATTTTCTCTAAAATATTGCATTGATCATTGTGAGATCACCAACACCAGCAACATGGAAGCACTGGACGACTGTTTCGCCCAAGTATAGGACTCATCAGCCGTGCATATCCACGACTCCCGCCAGCGGCATTTGAACCCAAGATCTTCAGTCTTGCGCGTGAACGCCTAACCTCTGGACCACTGAGTTGGCATCTAACGGTGTTAATGTCTAACTTCGACCACTTCAAGCATTCGCGCAACTTCATACACTGTCTTCGGTAGTTACTGTCTACACCCGAATAGGGTTGAACTTCACTGGTCACGTCTTCCCACTAGAACTCGTAGAAGATTCCTGACGGAGCTAGTCACTAGTGAGCACAGGTAATTGCATTACAGGTTTGTGGAGATTGTTAAGTTACACATTTTTGAAACCATGAATCGATCAATGTTAGACTACCATTAGAAACCTGGAAGCACTCAAAGCACTCAAAAAGCCGTTTCGTCCTGGTATGGGAATCATCAGCAGTGCACATCCGCAACTCCTGCACCTCTCAGGAGTAAGAATGTTGTCCTTTGAGAACAACGATTAACTGAAATCGATAATAATACCATACCCAAACAACATTGCAATGCCACTGAAATCATGGACCGATTAAAGGTTAGACGATTGATTGAAAACCTGAAAGATCTGGACAGCTGTTGTTTTATTCACAAGTGAAATTGGAAGTCATGATTTAGAATCCCACATGCAAGATTGTGGATGCATACTGTTGAGTAGTAGTAGTAGTAGTAGTCCAGTACTAGAAGTCTCTATAGTCCTTTAATGACGAAACGATTTTAAATCAGTCTGTACTCAGGAAAATACGAATCTTTATATAAATGTATAACGTACACCTTCAGTCTCATAGTTATCTGAATAGGTCACCTTGGTTAACATGTTAATCCCATTCCCTGTGTGTTAGACATTACCTATCACAGATATTCTCCCAGTAGATGTACAATGGGACCGATATGAACAGAGTACATGGTTTGTATATGATACAATATCTATAACCATTAGTCATCGGAAATGTCAAATATCTTTCGACAATTATATTCATAATGATATCAAAATACTTTCCACTTAAGCGATTATCAGACTGTATCTCAGTGTAAAATTCCAGGCAGAATAATGATAAATAGTATGAGATTATAACTCGACCTGAATCACTCTCTGGCTACTTCCGGATAAAGGAGGAGGGTTTGGCGTGGGGTTAGTGACCCCTATCCCATAGAAAACTAACTCCTTAAGAAAACTGCAAACCAGAAAAAGTAATTCAAACCATTTAAACTCTGACCTAAGAGTTGGAAGATCTTCATTTAGAAGAGTAATCACGTTTCATGGTAAAAACCGAGTTATTTCGGAAGTCACGAGGTCGTGTGTGTCCTATACTACTCGAGAATAATTTCATGAACAAAAGTTCGAGTTGTTTATTGTTTCTGAAGAAAAAATGTACATATACACCCATGAATGATTTTCTTGGGTTATAAAAGGTAATGCTACATTTTTACAGTTAATCAAACTAACAGTTTCATAGTAGTTTAATTCGTGAATTTATCTAAACTTGACAACCATGCAAATATACACAGCAGGCATTGAATAGATATTTCATCCTACTTTGGTGCATACTACTTGATAAGTGGTTTTATGAGTAATGTGCAACTGAGTGTCGACCACAAATTACTATCAGGAAGAAAAAAGGTATCAGATCGGTATGCATGAAGCAATCAGAGTGTTTTAAAAACCAGAAAACATGTAGCGTGAAATTCTGAGAATAGTGTTGACATATTTTGTTCATAAACTACATCTTCTTTGAGTACACTACTTATTCCGTTTGATTTTGATGTCTTGGTTCATTGATGTAATATGGAACGTTTCGGCGGTGAACGTGAATACATTCATCAGGTATCAAACCTAGGATTTTAGGATCCCTCACATTGTAGGATATGAAAAGAAGGTTACATAATATAGCAAATGGATTGAAATCAAAGGTGTACACAATGAAAACTCTCACTAACTAGGTTAAACACTCAAATGTAAGACCAACGATCTTGACTCCGGGTTTCACCTTGAACGACTTGCTCACTTCAACAAAACAACTATCCAATGCGTCTTGATTGTATAAACTTAAATAAATCCATGTTCACAACTCCGTTGCATAAAACCCTTAACAGTTGGTCTTAAATCAGTAATAAGTAATTTTTATGAACGCTGATCGATGTTTATTGAGTTTTTTCAAGAAAAAATCTTTGATTTCAGTGAAATCAATAATCAAACCATGCACTACTTGGGACATTTTATTAGGAAACCAATTCAAATTTATTTTTAGAAAGAAAAAATGAGCCAATTCTAAGTTGAATTTGATTGTTAAGTTTTAAAGTGAAATTCCATTGTACCTGGTTTTGCTAGTATAATTTACTTCGGAGAGTTCTCACATCAAGTAAAATAATTAAGACTTTGGGAAATATTAGAGTGACCTGAAAATAAACAGTTTAATGATTAGAAGACATTTTTAAGGCTAACTGGTATAATGAATCGTCCCAAAACGGATGAGGTGGGGCAACTGAATTGTTCGTATTTTACGAAAATTACACAGTTACTCAGTAAAATAGGAAAACCATATCATAAATCGTTAGTTAATTTGCAAAATATCAGTTCATCATATCGAACTGGACTGTTCCTGTTGCAAAACATCAATCCATTGTCACTATTCCATTGTGTTCCCACTCTTCCTTTCTTGATCTTCCCCCATCTTCTGCTTCCAGACATTACGTTGACACTCACATCATATACTACTTATAAGTAGCTCACAGCACACTATTACTTGTTAGTAATTTTTAAACTTGTTTTAATGAATAGACTTATATTTTTATTTAGAAAATCATTGAAAAATATGCTCAATCATTTCAAAATTAATCTTAAATATTTTAACTAGAGATTGTTTTCTCTCTCTCTTAAGAAGAATAATTAAATTCCATTGTTAATTAAGCCCAACCTTAATTTACCTTATTAACATTTCAATGTTCTCTATTCTCAAAAGGAATAATATTGAACACTGAACACTTGTTTTTCCACTAATTACTTCTTTTGTCTACTGTAGAAAAAAAGAGGGCATCGTTTTTTTGTCCTGTCTAGAAAAGGTAGGTGTGTATGTTGGTGATGGTAATTGCCTGTTATGAATCACCATGACACAATGTCATCATCTTAAATCTCTTTAGTGAGGCTATTCTAATACACACCCAATTTTCACTAAGAAATATGAACATTCTTCATCCGATTGAACATTATTGATAACTGAACAGTTTTGTTTTAATGATTCATTTGATGTGAATGTAATAATGTATTATTTATGATTTAAATTTTATATAGTTGTAATTTCAATCAACTTGAAGTGTTTGTATTGCGATGTCCCATCTAGTATAATTGTTTTTTTTAAGTTTGATTTCTTGTATCTGCATCGTAGAGTTGATGATGTTTATTATGAGATTCAAATTCACTACAGTATTTGTTTCAAATGCCTAGATAGTAACACGCACTTGTGCAAGTCTTAAGTAGGTTAGAATGTACATCCTGGATTTCACAAGCAGGCGCATTCTACTTCCCTATTCTGTGAAAACTTGTGACATGATTGCGCTAGATCGAGGCGATCCATATATAGAGTGTCAATATGTCAACCAAGACTGATCAATGTTCAACCTGAAAAAGCTATCAAGAAAGCGTTAACCCAAATTATTTTCAAATCGATTTATACACAGCAGCAGCTAAACATTAGTTGATGATAATTTAGACATTACTGAATATCTTCTTGAAGACAGTTCTTGGAGTTCTAGTGAGAAGACATGACCAGTGGAGTTCAAACCGATCAGGTGTAAGCAGTCACCTACCAAAAACAATGGGTAAGGTTGCGCTCAAAAACCTTAGATTGATCAAAGATAGACATTAACACCATTGGATGCCACCAGCTCAGTGGTCCAGAAGTTTAGCGTTCCTGTGCAAGATCGAGGGTCCTCTGTTCGGATCCTATAAGTAGCATGAGCCGTTGACGCGCACTACCCATATCAAGACGAAACGACAGTCCGGGGCTTCCAGTTTTCTAAAATTAATCCACCGTTAGAAACCTTAAGGTATTAGAAGGCTGGTTTGTCCTTGTATGGGAATCATCACCTAGGAGCTCCCTACCGTGGATGGATTCAAATTAAACATTAACATAACTAGATGCCGGCTCAGAGGGCAAGAGTGTGAGAGTACGCGATTGAGACTGAAAGTCTTGAATCCGATTATTTTGTGTGTGGTGGGGCTTGTGGATACATACTACCAGTTTTCTGAATTAGATTAATTCATCTACAAAGATCTCATACTTTGGTTTGTTATATCTCGTCACTGTTGACCAATATCATGTTCGGTCTCATGTACAGTTACGGAAATAAAGGCGAATATAACTTCCTGGATGGTCACATCTTGAAAGGGTGTTTTTTGAGGAACTCGAAAAGGAATTCGGATTATTGTTGGCTTTAATAACCTGGAAGTATGACCGCAGAACCCAAAGGACAACTGCTTCAGGATGATCATGCACGGCCTGTTTATGGGAAACTTGTAAATTGTCAGCGTCGCTCTTTAAATAGTCTAATCATCGGGACGAAAATCCATGAGCTAAGGTGAGGTGTGACATTTTTAGGGTCGACATTTTCTAACCCCTTCGTTCCGTTACGGCCAGACCAAAATATGGCAGAAATCCATAAAGTCACTGACAAGTGAACTGAGGCAAAATGTTGGTAGATGTAGGCTACATGGTTGGGGTCCGCGAGATGATAGTAACCGATGGTTAAAGACCCTGAATGACTTGGCTCAAAATCGTCTACAATGGCGCAGGTACATCCACTCTTTGTGTTCTCTCAAATCCTAATCTTCTGGATTCTTCAAAAACCTCTACTTTTGTCTTTCTAGATCTGCCTCATTGATTTATACTTCTTGAATAATATCTTGGAACCCAAATCCCCTCTATTACTAGTAGTACTCTTACTATCTCTACCACTATGAGATTTGAACTGACAGTTGCATTCTCCGCGCTAATGTGGTATGGCAACATGAACTGATGTACTTACGTACGAAGTTCTGAGAAGGTAGCATCACTGCAGATGCTGGCAGTCCTAGGACACACTTTGCTACTATCACACCTCTCTACAGTCAGCAGAGCAACTTCCTACTCATATCTTAAGTTAAGTTATTGCTTTTAGTCTCACCGTTCTCCAGTCGACCTGCCTGGTATGGTAGAACCTACAGGAACATATGTTCCAGACAATATATAATTCACTTGAATCATCACAATAAGCAATCCCAACAACCATATCAAAGTAGCAGCTACGCTGTCACAATAGCATGTTACAAATCACCAATCTGAATTCCCATCCTTATTTGGTCAAATTTCATGTCTAATATTATACTTTTGAAAATCCCACCGTAAGAACTCAACAACTGAATAACATTTACTTCATCAGAAACTATGGAAATACATCAGTTTTTATTTCGGAAATGAATTGAATTAAGACAAGTCCCAGCCCATAAAGTCTAGTTTCTGATATCAATACCCTTTTTGATTTCTGGTGAACATATCCCGAAAAAAAAACTACTCAAAGAAATCGATTTCCCTTGTTTCTATTTAAAGCTAATCATTTGTGAAAAAAACTTTTGTCCATAAAACAAAGAAAACTTGCCGAAAAAAAATTTAGCGGTCACCTTGAAAATGACATAGAATCAATAAATATCGATTAGCTCGGAGTAAATTCCTCCTTTTACGATTATATATATGTATATATATATAGCCTTATTTCTGTTCCTATTAAAGAATACAAAGCGAATATTATTGATTTTAAACAAATCGAACGATTTGATAACAATCTGAGGAGTCCCATACCAGGACGAAACGGCCGTCCAGTGCTTCCAGGTTTCTAATGGTGGTCTAACATTGATCGATTCATGGTTTCAAAAAATGTGTAACAATCTGGCAGACAAAATGTTTCAGTGAAATCATGAAACGACCAATGTTAGACCTTGGGACGTCTCTAGAGGTTAAGTGTACGTACGCGAGACTACACGTCCTGTATTCATTTACCACGTGCAGGGGGTCGTGAATGTGCATGGCTCACCAGTCCCATACTGGGACGGAATGGCCCTCCATTGCTTCCATGTTTCTAAAGTTGATCTAAGATTGATTGATTCACGGTTTCAAATAGAAAGGAATCGTTATATGACGATTCATGGTTTCAAAAAATGTGTAACTTAATGATCTTCACAATCCCGTCATGCAAATTACCTGTGCTCACTAGTGACTAGCTTCGTGAGGAATCTTCTCCGAGTTCTAGTGGGAAGACGTGACCAATGAAGTTCAACCTGTTCGGGTGTAGACAGTAACTACTACCGAAGACTGTGTATGAGGTTGCGCAACTCCGTGAATTTGATCAAGTTAGACATGAACACCGTTAGATACCGGCTCAGTGGTCTAACGGTTAGGGCGTTCGCGCACAATACCGAGTTCGAATCGTGCGAGGTGCAGGAGTCGTGGATGCGCACTGCCACTGATGAGTCCCATACCAGGACGAAACGGCTGTCCAGTGCTTCCAGGTTTCTAATGATGGTCTAACAATGGTCCAGTCATGGTTTCAAAAAATGTGTAGCTTAATAATCTTGACAACCCCGTAATGCACATTATTTAAATCAATATGGTATTGAACTTTGAACCAGTAATTGATGGATTCATATTTCAGTTTGTTTGATCAGTTGGATGATGAAATAGTGTACTAATTACTCATATACTTTTCTAATGAGTTGTTTGTGTAATGTGTATTTGTGATGCGTGAAAAAAAATGAGACTTTTGCATTATACAACAATAAATATGAATGAACTCTTCCGAGTAGTTAGAACACGATAACTAATCTTGTGATTAGTAAACTCTAAACTATGAATATAACCTTGATTCATTCAAAATTGAGTTGAACTCTCAATGTGATCATTGAGTAAACAAATTGTGGTATACGTTTTTTTGGTTAGGCCATGAAAAAATCGATTTTGAACGTATTGATTAGTAAAGCATTAGGAATTTTTTTTTTGATGATTAGACTATCATTAGAAACCTGGAAGCAATGACCGGTAATTTCATCCTGTATGGGAGTGGCCAGCAACAGTAAGCCTGCATAAATTCCACACGTGGGAGGCTAAGCGTTTATGTGCGAAATTGAAAGTCCTGGATTGAATGCACACTGCTGATGAGTTCCGTACAAGGAACAAACGACCACCCAGTGCTTCCAGGTTTCTAAAGGTGATCTTTCAATGACTGGTGGATGCGAACCGTCACAAATAAACATCATTTACTTTAATTCAATAAGTGGGTGTCTGATCGCAGCAAATTTAGATCAGTTGTTACGAAAAAAACTAAGTTGGATGATAGACAGTCAGAAAACGATACATAATTTTATGCATTAAAGTATTATGGAGATCGTATTCTCATCTTAAAATCTTGAATGAATCATTATTGGATCACCATCAGAGACATGTAAATATTGGACGTCAGTTTCACCCTAGTATAGAACTCTTCAGTGGTGAGCATCCACGACCCCGGTTACTCACAGGATTCAAATCCACCACCTTCGGTCTTGCGCGTGAACATCAAACCTCTGGACCAGTGAGAAGGCATGTAAAGTGACCAGTGGATTTTACAAATGGATTGTGCTGACAGTAACTACCGAAGACAATGGATGAAGTCGGGAAAAATCCTCAGACTGATCACAGTTAGACATTAACACAGTTGGATGGTACCGTCCCAGTTGTACATAGTTTAAGAGTTCGTGCGCAAGACCGAAGGTCCGGAGTTCGAGTCCTACGAGTTGTAGGAGTCGTGTATGTTCACTACCACTGATGAGCCGTATACCAGGACAAAATGGCAGCCCAGTGGTTCCAGGTTTTAAATAGTGGTCTAACAATGATTTATTCGTGATTTCAACATAATGCTGTCTTTCTTGTTTTCTCAAACGATTTCCCTGAAATTTATTCCATGTGATTTTATCGAAAAATTAAATGACTTTTAAATCGATTTTTTCATTTATGATTGGGAATAACAGTAGGAGGGTGGACACCTTATTCCGTCCCATTTTTAAACTCATCACTTAAATATATTAGACCACCATTAAAAACCCGAAAGTATTGGACGGCCAATTCATCCTATTCTGGGACACATCAACAAGTTGTGTGCATCCAAGAACCCCGCTACTCACGAGACTCAAACCCAGAACCTTTGGTCTTGCGTGCGAACGCTTAACCTCTGGACAACCAATGGTGGTCTAACAGTGATTGATTCATAATTTTCAAATAGTAACTCAATAATCTCCACAACTCCAGAATGTAAACTTAAATATATTTCTATATATGACAATGAAATACAATTAAAAAATGCGCGCAATTTATTTTATTGTTCACTGTGTATTATGTGTTTTTGATTCCTTTCAGGAAATCGAAAAATTTTTTTAATTATTTATTTCAATAAATCTACATTTCGAGGTGATTCATTTGGAATATTAATCATCATCAAAATATGCCTTCACCGACATCGCAATCAGGTAAGTTATTGGATTATCGATTAGTTTATTGATTTACGGCACATGTAAACAGTACATTAGTGTATAGTTCGATAAATACATATCATATATATATCTGTCATGACCAGCCTTCAATGTAGCCTCTTTATGCGTAATAATACTGATAATGTTCACGAAATTCCTTCCAGTTTACAGACTAACATAGGTAACACATTACAATACACTCTTAGTCAATTAAAAACGAAAACATTACATTGAACACTCTATTTGCACACCATCTTTGAGTCGTGACTTCCAACGCTCTATTCTTCTTCCATTCCTGCTGTTGCCTCCTTTCCTTCCTGTTGGTACTCCATTTACTTCTTGCTTTTGCTCCATTTGCTTTCCGTTTTCCCCTTCTGACCATGAGACTTCTTTCACGTCCCTACTTATACTACTTATATCGTTCGTATAAGTAGCACACACCACAGATGTAGAGGATAGTTGTTTGTCTAATTGTCACGTTGTACATCAACTAAAGCGGTAAATAATATTGTGAAAATCATAAAAAATTCTGCCTGACATTAAAATATTTCAACAAGTTATGTCCTTCTGTTTGTTTTAATATTCAAGTATATAGCTGAGTAGTTTATGAACTGCTGCTGTTTTACAAATTACAAGAAAGTAATTACAGTCGGAGATATTTGAGTGGCTGTTATTAATATATACTATGAAAAGGAAAGCTGTTCAAATATTCCGCGCTGAGAATGAGATTGAAAAAAGACATTAAATATTTTTACACATTGAAATCGTGCAAGTAGAAGGAGTCGTGAATGTGCATTGCCAATGATGAGTCCCGTACAAGGACGAAATGGCCATGTTTTAGTGCTTCCAGGTTTCTAATAGTGGTCTAACTATGATTGATTCATGATTTTTGTGTGCAAACAGTGATCTCTAGAAGTCTAATTGAAAAACCGTTATTATTACAAGTAACTACTTCTAATGACACTATCGTCAATCTCGACCAAAATTTATCTCATAGTCTCAGACAACATACAGAAAAAGATTAATGCGTAAGGAACCTTACATCTATCTTCAATTTCACATAGAATAGACAGAATGTAACTAGTAGTAGTGTAATCCAGTGGATGTTTAGTTCGTCTTAGTTAGAACTCGTCTTTAGCTGAATGTATATGCTACATCTCAGAATTGATATTCACTCAAGGATTCGAATCCAGCATGCAACTGAGTATCAAAAGACACTGCGTTAACCATTTATACACTGAGTCCAGATAGCCATTCACTTATACGGCAGGTATGAAATGGTTTGGACTCATTTTGAAATGAACGGTACCGGGTTCGAATGTCAAGACAGACATCAACTCTGAAACGAATGTACATCCAGCTCAAAACGAGTCATAAGTAAGTCAAAACATTCGTCCTTGAATGCACTACTAGTCACATTCTATCAACGTTTCTTCACATCTTCGACATTTAATCGAACAGGCAGTCTTCATTAATTTATTTAAACAGCTCAAACTAATACTTCATTTCATCTTGGATTAGTGTTACGTCTTGATTGCATCAATCATAACTATCTTCCAAATTAACTCTAAACAAGAAAATATTTCTAGTTCATTTAGGTTACAATTGACCCATACTTAATACACGTTCCAATCACTTCAATTGATGAAAGTCTATTTTTTCAGTAAAGTAGCTATTTTCACTAAGTCTAGTGTGAAGTTTATTTAGGATTTTTTTTATGTCTACGGCTGTAAGTAGTCATCCAAAAGTTTCTTACTTGTTGATACCTCTACACTAAGACAAATTGACAGTCTTAAACAAAACTAAGGCACATATTTCTGCCCTACAGATGAACATTTTCTTTAACTTACTTACTTACTTACGCCTGTTACCCACCATGGGGCATAGGCCGCCCACCAGTTTTCTCCAACCAACTCTGTCCTAGGCTTCCCTCTCCAGTTCTGTCCAATGTTTGTTCATTCCTCTCATATCTTTCTCTATTTCTCGGCGTAGTGTGTTCCTTGACCTTCCTCTTTTCCTTTTGCCTTAAGGGTTCCATGTGAGGGCTTGTCTCGTGATGCAGTTAGGTGCTTTTCGTAGTGTGTGTCCTATCCACTTCCACCGCTTCTTCCTGATTTCCTCCCCCACTGGAATCTGACTTGTTCTCTCCCACAGTCCGTTGTTGTTGATGGCGTCTGGCCAACGAATCCGAAGTATTTTGCGTAGACAACTGTTCATAAATACTTGTATCTTCTGGATGATGGCTTTGGTAGTTCTCCAGGTTTCCGCTCCATACAGTAAAACTGTCTTCACATTTGTATTGAAAATCGTGATCTTGGTTTTGTTTGAAAGTTGTTTGGAGTTCCAGATATTTTTCAACTGTAGAAATGCAGCCCTTGCTTTGCCGATCGGCGCCCTTACATCTGCGTCGGATCCACCTTTCTCGTCGATGATGCTGCCAAGATATGTAAAGGTGTAACGTCCTCCAAGGCATCTCCATCAAGAATGATTTGGTTGGTGCATGTTGTGTTGCATCGGAGAATTTTACTTTTTCCTTTATGTATGTTGAGACCTACTGCTGCTGAGGCTGCTGTGCTGCTACACTGGTCGTCTTCTCTTGCATTTGTTGTTGCGTGTGAGATAGAACAGCCAGGTCATCTGCGAAGTCCAGATGGTCCAGCTGCGTCCTATCTGTCCAGTTGATACCATGCTTCCCTCCAGATGTCGACGTCTTCATAATCCAGTCGATTACCAGGAGAAAGAGAAAGGGTGAGAGTAAGCAACCTTGCCTGACACCGGTCTTCACCTCGAAAGAGTCTATTAGCTGTCCATCGTGTACGATTTTGCAGTTGAACCCATCATAAGAATTCCTACCTGGAGGGCACCAAACTCCACCAGTAGAACCTTCGGGGCTACTGCCGGTCGCAAGCCCGGGTAAAGGAGGAGGGTTGAACACTGGGTTGACGACCCCATTACGTCAAAAACTAACTTTCCAAAAAAACGCTAACCGGAAAAAATAATCTATTTTCTTTAAACTAGATATTAAATATTACAATATTTTAAGTTATGATTACCACTGGATAAATGAAATTTAAATTATTTACTAGTCACAACAATAATTCAATGTCCGATTTTCTGTTTTTCCCACAAATATCATTTAAACAAACCAACTAACCAACCAACCAATCAAAAAGCCAATGTCAATAATGGTTGCAGCTGTGATGATACAGGAATGAATGGCAATGATATTGAATTATTGAAAAAGCATTTACCTCATGTGGATTTTGAAACTGGTTTAAAACATCGCAGTAAGTGATTACTAATTTGGTTTTTAAATGACAAATACAAACATACTAATTATTCATGTTTTAAAATTTCATTTTATTTTCAATCCGGTTTACGTTCATCTGGTGTGTAGATCATTATATTTGGTCGCATGTATTAGACAGATATGTGTAAACATATTAAAATCACCAATCAATCAATGTTAGACCACCATCAGAAACCTGGAAGATAGCCGTTTCGTCCCGGTATGTGACTCATCATTAGTAGTGCGCATCCAAGACACCTCGGGGGATTCCAACCAAGGACCTTCGGTCATGCATATGAATGCGTTGCTTCTGGACCACTAGGCAGGCATCCAACGGAGTTAATTTCCAACTCTTAATAATCTATGGACTTTGCATGACGTAAACCATTTTTCTTTGGTGATCACTGCCTACACCGGACAGGATCGCACTCCACTGATCACGTCTTCAACCCTTTCGGGTTGTCCAGAAGCTAGGCGTTTACACGCAAGACCGAAGGTCATGAGTTCGAATCCTGCGAGTAGCACGAGCCGTGGATGCGCACTTATTATGAGTCATATACCAGGACGAAACGGCCTTTGAGTGCTTTCATGTTTCTGTTAATGACCTAACAATGTTTGATTGATTTCAGTGTAAAAACCCTAAAGAGGGAAAATAGATATATAGTGTTTACGTTTATCCAATTTGATTTAACCGGTTGTGATTTTGGGTCAAATGATTGTCTAAACATAATTACCTACAAATCAAACGATTAGTCAATTTGTATCATATGTAGACTCTTCAAACTTATTAATCTTTGAGTAGGTTTCTTCCAGTTCTGATCGAATTGTACCGACTAAATTTCATTGTGACTACTAGGATTTCAATGACTGATCATCTCGTGCAACATGCTGAGATATTTAGTGGTCGAAATAAGTCGATTGAAAACTCTAAGCATACTGTCTGACATTCATCGTTAAAGATCTACCTAAAATCTTAGCCAACTGATGCTCTTAAACGGTACATTTCACTGAAGAATACTAACTAGCAATACTTGTGAGACTTCAGTTAGACAACTGTTGAAATCCAAGAACTATTGAACGTTGTGGCGCTGTTCACGAATAATCATCTCTGATAAAATTAGTCAGTTGAACACAAAATATTTCAAAATATTTCCAATAAGTTCTGGAGTGAAACGATTCATTGAACACCAATGTTCCTACGTGTGTGGTGCGAGCTACTTATAAGTAGTATATGACGTCAATGTAAACGTAATGTCTGGCAGCAGAAGATGGAGTAAGATTAAGAAAGGAAGAGTTAGAACACAATGGAATTTGTATGAAACGCATGAATAGTGACAATGGATTGATGATGTTTTGCAACAGGAACAGTCCAGTTCGATATGATGAACTGATATTTTGCAAATTAACTAACGATTTACGTTATGGTTTTCCGATTTTTACTGAGTAACTCTGTAATTTTCATTAAATACGAACAATTCGGTTGCCCCACCTGTGTTCTCGTTCACTACACGTGTAGTTGTGGAGAATTTATTGTTAAAGTAAATCTTGTACACCATTGAGATTTGAACACTCTAAAATACTTTTTTTTGATAAATATTTGATAAATTCTTATCTAGGTCAATGTATTTATCATTTTTTTGTGTTTGAAAACCTCCTAATAAGACAAAACTTCTCGAATAGTTCATTCTGTCAAAATTTTTGTTTGACTAATGATTACGGATGACCTTTAATGAATAATAGTCAATTAGAAAAAAATTGGAAAGAAAATGTGTGTTTAAATCGATAGGAAAATTGATCAGTTTCAGATTTGTCCATAAAGAACTGATGTAGTGAAAGAGAACACAAGTGGGGCAACCGAATTGTTTGTATTTAATGAAAATTACAGACTTACTCAGTAAAATAGGAAAACCATATCGTAAATCGTTAGTTAATTTGCAAAATATCAGTTCATCATATCGAACTGGACTGTTCCTGTTGCAAAACATCAATCCATTGTCACTACTATTCATGCATTTCATACAAATTCCATTGTGTTCTAACTCTTCCTTTCTTAATCTTACTCCATCTTCTGCTGCCAGACATTACGTTGACACTCACGTCATATACTACTTATAAGTAGCTCGCACCACAGCACCACACTGATTGATCGTTTGGCGTCAATTAAAAAACTCTACTTTATTACCTCAATCTTTTTTTTAAATGACTAATGTTATGATGAGGTTCAAGTGTGCTGTTGTTTGATACGAGATCTTGAATTATAAGTAAAATGTTAGTAGTTATTTAGAGAATGTATTTAGTTTGTGTCGGTCACTAGTGAAATTATTATTGCAAACTACAATTAGAAATGGTGAATGATTAGTAATGAAATTGAGGAGGCATGTTTCGTCGTATTTAGGACTCGTCAGATGGATGTACTTACAGTCAATCAGTCAGTTACAACGTAGAACTTTGTGCGTACGTACATCAGTCCAAGTTGCCACACCAAATTAACACAGAGATGCAGTTGTCGATTCGAATCGCATGGTAGTTGAGGTTCAAAGATGTTACTCGAGAAGTATGAACCAGTGGAATAAATTGAAAAAGATAAGTAGAAGGTCATGAGAAATTCAGAAGATTAGAGTTTGAGAGAACACAAGAATGGATGCACCTGCTCCATTGCAAACGATTTTGAGCCATGTCAGTCAAGGTCCCTAACCATCGATTACTATCATCTCGTGGACCTCAACCAGGTAGTTTACACTTACTAACATCACTCAATCCAGTTGTCAGTAACTTCATGAATTTGTGCCATGGTTTGGTTTGGCCGCCTGCAGTTGTCTGCCAACCTATTCCAACATGACGAAACATAGCTAGACGAGGTAGTCTGCGGTTGGGCATAAGTAGCACATATCCCAATCACCTGAACTGATGAAGTTTCAATACTTCATCTATTGATCTGCCATCCTTAACTAGCACCCGTTTCCTAACAACAGCATTGATTAATCGGTTGTCCCACAATACACGAGCAATGCTTCGGAGACATCGATGATCGAAAACCAGTAACAAACGAGTATCCTCTACTCATACTGGCCATGTGTCTCATCTATATAGTAGGACAGAGCGGACTACTGTGTAGTACACTCATCTTTCGGTTAGCAGACAGATATCTCCCCTACCTCATGAGTGGCGCAAGTTGGCAAAAGCCATTGGAGGATTCTGTATCCGTGCTGAGATTTCGTCAGACACCAAGACCTAAACACTGATGAGATCCGCGAGACAAGTGAAGCGGTATACACACTCACCTGCTTCATTCCCTATCACTAGTTCAGGTGCCGATGTTCACACTCGTTCAGAGGCTCGAACCTAGTGCCATCGATTTCAAACACCAAAGTGTTCTCATTCGGCCACTGAGTCCAGCTGGTCGCCGGCTGGTGAAATGAAGTGGAGTTAAAATTATTTTTAGTGGTTCTTTGAATGTTCCAATCGATAGTTAGGACTGTATAAGTAAGTATACGTTGTGCGAATTACCTGAAAAATATCATAAGAAAAGATAAACGGTAGCTAGCTATGGAATCCCAGATGTGCATTACGTTCAGTCAATACAAGTGGTTGGTTATAAATTGTTGAGTTTCGTAATGTAATTAAACAGCTCTTCAATACTTCATAAACTAGTAACGATCACGTGATCTGAATGTGTTGGTTTCGGTCAACAGCAACCAATCAAGATCGAGGTTATCAGAACAAGCTTCAGGTCAAACATGGAGAAATTCGAATACTTCACTTCTGCCAAATGAAGTTTGTGTGGCTGACGATGTTGTTCAGCAGAAGAACAATGAAAGCTCCACAACCAAAACATCCAGCTCAGAGAACCAAACACCACCACCACCACCACCACAAAATCGTTTTTTTGCCAAAATTACCTGCTGAAATAAAACCAGTGTCCAAATGCCTTGAACTTTTTCAATTCGTATCATTATAGTGAAATAACTTTTTTATTTTTATTTGAAAAAAACTGTTATCAATTTAAAGTGTAGCTACATTTTGTACAGTGAATCAGTAGTTAATTTGTTTAAGTCATAAAATGTTTCATAAGGTTCGTTAACTAAGTGTCATTTTGTAATAAATGCGAGACAAGGAGATGTACACATGATTAATTGTGTCAATGATTAATAATGTACGTGTGGGTGTGCCGTTATTTTTTGAAATTTCTGCCATTTTTTTGTTTTAAATGGCGTCAATTTAAATTATGTGAAACAGTAGTTTTTTAATCGGTCAACCAAAATGAAAAAAAATATATTACAGAAAATTTTTTTTCATAGAGTGATGATAAATGTAGTTTTATTTTTTGTTTAAAGGGAAATGAACTTTTCACCTGTCTGACATGAATCTTTACTGATTTATAACTTTGGCTGTATAACCGATAGGAAATAACACTTAGTTGTGTGTGTTGTGACCGTAAAGATCATTTTTATTTGTGACTTACTTCTCATGGAGCATGAACCATCGATGACTGCCAATCTGAAATTGAATAACATTCAGGAAAGTCTGGAAGTGAAAACCTGAGTCCATTCCATGTACCTAAACTAATAGTTGATCTGGTTATCAGAATGTGCTTCGGCTTTGTGACTTCCAAAGATACTTGGCTTTTATCATGAGACGCCGTAACTCTTCTAAATAAAGATCTTCTCACTCTCAGGGCAGAGTTTAACTTACGTGAATTATTTTTTAGCAAGTCACTTTACAATGGCATAGGGGTAGATGACTCCACGCCAAACCCTTCTCCTCTATCCAGGCTTAGGACGGGCAGTAGTCCCAGTGGGGTCTCAGTCGGAGTTCCAGGACAGAATAGATTTGATATATTGCTCGTTTCTAGCCTATACTCCGCAAGAAGTAAAATCTAGTCAAAGTATATAAATCGTTGATTTTAAATCTTCAGTTAAATCGATCCGAAACAAGGATTTCGCCTTAATAAAACATACATACATATTGATTCACAGACTTAATTAGCATATGAAATAGGGAATTGAAAATGATTTTAAGGAGAAAAGTTCCACGAAAATTACAAAATTCAATTCTATAGATTACGTAATTGCTACAATGAAAACTGCCTAGCAGGTTTAAATGAACTAAACTTCAACCAAAAATCAATGAACAGATTAATTTCCGAATGGGATTACGCAATAGGATGTGAAATAATTCATTTGATGTTCGGGAAAAAATCACACTGTAAAGAGAAATGTTCCGAATTTTTATAGAACTTATTATTTCACTGAGATTTATCCCAAAATAAATTGAGTAAATAATTGCCTGACATGAATTAGTAACGAACAGGAATCACAAACGATGCCGATTTGTAGAGGTAAATCACGAACTTGTAAACCATGGACGAATGTTTCGCGCTAATATGGGACTCGTTAGTAGTATTCATGCCTTCATCCGATTATCGGACTCACGATGATCGGACTAACAATGTGAACGTCTTACTTTTAAACCACCAAACTGACATCCACGGATTCTTATTTCTAACGTCAATCAGTTCACAACGTTCGATTATTTTGAAAGCTAGCTTACACATGATCAAAATCAGGATGTTTCTGAAGTTTAAGTTATAAGTTCTTGTTAGGCATGCATTGGATTGTATGATCGCCTCATTAAGAGTTTACAATCGTTAAATTATGAGATCTGTACCAGTTGACGCTATTCGGCCTAGAGCCCCTCTGGGGCTACTACCGGTCCAGGGTTCGGATAAAGGAGGAAGGTAGGATGCATCGCGTTAGAGACCACATCGTTGAAAAAACATGGCCAGAAAATATAATTCAAACTCATTGACGATGTCTTAGTGATTCTGATGTTCAAGAGTTCGCTGTAATCACTGACATGACTGTAGATGAACATAGGCCGCCGACCAACATTCTTCAACCTTTCTCCAGGCTCCTTTTCCAGGTCTACCCAATCTCTGTGTGCTTCCAATACTCAGCGCATGGTATACACTGGTCTTCCTCTTTTCCTTTAGCTTCGAGGGTTAAAAGTAAGGGCTTGTCTTTTGACACTTTATAAAATGTGCGTCCTATCCACCTCTATCACTTCTTTCTAAAATCTTCCTCTGCTGGAATCTGGTTTGTTCTCTCTCACATTAGAATGTTGCTGATGATGTCCTTCCAACGGATCCGCAGTATCTTGCGTAGACAAACGTTAATAAACACCTGTATTTTGGAGATGATGACTTTTGTGATTCTCTACGTTTTCGCCCCAGACAGTAGAACTGCCTTGACGTTCGCATTGAAAATTGGGACTTTGGTGTTGGTTGACAGTTGTTTTGAGTTTTTACATCATCTAGAGCTTCTCTATCAAGTGCATACTAGGTTGTATCAGAGGATCTAGGCCCGACTTCTGTAGAGACTGACGCTACACTGGTCGTCTTAGCTTGTCTTTGTTGATATGTATGGGATAGAAGAGCTAGATCATCCAGCTGGATCCGACCAGTCCACTGAATCCCTTGCTACTCTTAAGATGCTGAGATCTTCATAATCTAGTCGACCACCAGGACAAAGAGTAAGCGTAAGAGTAGGGAGTTTTGTTTGACACCAGTCAACCAGTGGAACAGATCTGTTTGTAACATTATGGTTTTCAAAGTTGGACTTTTTACATTCACTAACAAATCATAAACAAATAACCCAGTTTATAGTAATGATCATTGAACACTATTCATATCAATTTAAAATACAATCACATCAGATTCAGTAGTGTCATTCAACTGTTCAATATTCATGTATTATTTTTAAAAAGTTAACCTTTTCATCAATAAATTTAGTAAAAGAAGTAAGCGAACAAATCAAAACATTTATTGTTGATCATAACATCTTACAATCTGCTTGACATGCGAATAGTTCAATAGTGAAACTCTTATTGTCATTGTAGAATTTTGAATAAAAGAAACACTTGTTTTAATAATATTAACTTGAATATTGGAAAAACAGTTAGAAATTTTTAACATTTAACCTTAGATATTTGTTCTGTCAATATGTGACTTGACTGTTTTGTTTTTCGTGTAATACAGTTTTGATTATTTCTGAGGATAATAATTTTTCCTGAAAAACAAATCTTTGGTATATATTATGTCAGTTTAGGGTTGTAAAGACTGTTTGATTTCATTGAAATCACGAAATGATAAATGTTAAACTGTCATTATTAACCGGAAACATTGGCCGATCATTCCATTTTAATCTGGGACTCATCAGCATAGAACATCCACAACGGCGCAAGCGACAGTCGAACCCAGTACTTTCAGTCTTGTGCGCGAAACTCACCATTGTGGATTGATTCAGGTTAAACATTCACACCGTTGAATACTAGCTCTCGGGTTAACAGGTACAGAAAGTTTCCGTGGTAGGCAATAGCAGATAAACACTGATTCTGAGTACCACATTCGGATGAAACGACTATTCAGTACTTCCAAGTTTCCAACAGTGGTCTAACACTGATCACTTCCTGATTTCATACAGAAGTGATATCTCTACAGTCAACCCATTCGGTTCTCTCTCTCTCTCACGGGTTTTTTATCATATGTGATCTCCAACTGTCTCAAAATAATTGGCTAATGATACACAGTGTTCAACTATGTTCGCTAGTGGATATTTTACTAGTTTATTCAAAATCCTAATGAGAATCGTTATGTTTATACCATGTTAGGAAATTCTCATCACTATTTATGGCATATTGTAACAAATTTTTTCTTGGAACAAGAGTTTAAATTGAAATTACTTGAAAAAAAAGAACGTATTTTGCTCAATGTCTCATAATAGTCTGTATATCGATCGGGATTTTATGAATGATTAAAGCTTTTTACCAGTGTTTTATTAAAATTGGTCAATTATAGAATTTTAGAATTCCAGTCTACTCACTTCTGATTTATTTAGAGGATAGAAACTATGACAATAATGAAAATGTTTCTGTTAACATATAATGTCCAGAAGTTACTTACTTATTTACTTACTTACTTATGCAGCCTACTCACTTACTTACCTACTTACCTACTTATTTAACTGCTTACTACTTACTTACTTATGCACTTACTTACTTACTTACTTATGCACTTACTTACTTACTTACTTATGCACTTACTTACTTACTTACTTACTTACTTACTTACTTACTTACTTACTTACTTACTTACTTACTTACTTACTTACTTACTTACTTACTTACTTACTTACTTACTTACTTACTTACTTACTTACTTACTTACTTACTTACTTACTTACTTACTTACTTACTTACTTACTTACTTACTTACTTACTTACTTACTTACTTACTTACTTACTTACTTACTTACTTACTTACTTACTTACTTACTTACGCCAGTTACCTATAATGGAGCATCGGCTGCCGGCAAGCATTCGCCATCTTTCTCTGTTCTTGGCCTTCCTTACCAGCTCCACGCAATCGATGTCTATTCTTCTCAAGTCTGTCTTCAATACTCGAAGTACTGCGTTCTTTAGTCTTTCTCTTTCCTTCCAGCCTAGAAGATTGTCAGCCAAAGTTTGCCTTGTAACTCAGTTTCATGATTTCCTTATTGTATGTCCTATTCACCTTCAGTTCCTTTTCCTGCTTTCTTTCGTCAGTTGGAATCTGGTTTGTTCTCTCCCACAGTCCTATCTTATAAACAATGGAAAAGTTTAAAACCTGGCGAAAATACGTAAATGCATATATATATATTTTACTATTTTTTATTACAGCAGTTCAACGCGATCCAATTACCGGTCTTGGAACATTACCAAAAGAACATATTGAACTTGGACGTACAAGAAATGCTTCCACTGGTAGACCAGGTAAGTAACATTTGTAGCGTTTTTGTGAGCTTGATTTGTTCAGTGAAAGATTATTGAAAAATAGCCAATGTAAAAATTATTCTAGCGAATACATTGATATTCTTAAATTAAAGTGTGTTCCATAAGTTTGAACACATGAAAGATGATTGTTGAAGCTTAAGAATGTGTGTGTATTCGTAAGTAGTGCATTAGATCCCCACCGTAGCTGCTACTCCTTTGATGTGGTGGTCCGGCTTGCCTATCGTGATGACTCAACCGAGCTATATTGGCTGGAACATTTGTTCCTGAAGGTTCTACCATACCTGGCAGGTCGATTGGAGAACGATCAGACTAAAAGCAGCTACTCAAGGTCTGAGGGCGAAGTCCTACTGCTGACTGCAGAGAAGTGTGACGGCAGTAAGGTGTTTCCCTCGGACAACCAGCATCTTCAGCGATGCTGCCTTCTCACAAGGAAGGAAGAAGTTAGAAAATGTCGACCCTAAAAATGTCACACCTCACCCTACCTCATGGATTTTCGTCTCGGGCGGTAAGGGTGCCCACTAGGGGCCTTTAAGAGCGGAGCTAATCCTCAAAAAACCCTTCATAAAATGGCCGTGCGTGACCGGCCTCAAGCAGTTGTCCCTTCGGCTCTGCGGTCACGCCCCCAGGCCCTTAAGGCCAACACTAATCTATCTTCCTTTTCAGGTCCCTCAAGAAACACCCTTCCACGGTGTGGGCAGCCGGCAAGTGACAACCGCCCTCATACCCGTAACAGCATGAGAGAACAAATTGGTCGAAATCAAATCCTTCCTACTGGAGTGTATTAGATCGGAAAGATTTCTGCTTGTCTTTCAGAAGAAAAATCTTCAGTGGTTAAAATTTTTCACGAATCAGTCCAAATGAAGTCGTTTTACCGAAGAGATTGAGGGATATGATCTAAGATAGACCATCACTACATATCTGGAAGCATTGAATGATCTTTTAATTCTAGTATAGAACTCCTCTGTGGCAGAGCACATTCATCACCCTTGTACGCAACGGTCCAACTGAGTACCTAGAAAGTACATAATAGATATTATTACAATAGATTTGTGGAGATAGCGACACCATTGAATGCCAGCTCAGTGGTTTACAGGTTAAGTGTTCCTGCGCTAGGTCGAAGATCTCGGGTGCAAATCTCATGTGTAGGGCACATGGATGTGCATTATTGATGAGCCCCATACCTGAACGAATAGGTCATTCAGTGTTTTCAGGCTTCTAAAAGTTGTCCGGTTTGCAGTTTTTGACGGATCAACGTCATAATATCAAACATACAGTTCAATAAGAGTTTATTCGACAGTTCTTGGCTGACAGTAATTTTCATCGGGAAAAAAAATGTTGTGGTGGTGTTTCGTTGTCTGAATTGGTTGTTTTGGTTGTGGAACTTTCATTGTTCTTCTGAACAACATCATCAGCACAAACTTCAGATAGAAGAGGTGAAGCATTCGAATTTCTCCACGTTTGACCTGTAGCTTGTTCTGCTAACCTCGATCTTGATTGGTTGCTGTTGACCTTTGACCTGTCGTTGTTTGCAACTTTGTTTTGATTTCATCTCCCTTTTGATCTGTTTCTTGATCCTGTGTCACCTATGATTTTCCTGATTGGTTGATAAATTGGGTCAATGTCGACAAGCTACAGGTCAAACGTGGAGAAATTCGAATGTTTCACCTCTTCTATCTGAAGTTTGTGCTGATGATGTTGTTCAGAAGAAGAACAATGAAAGCTCCACAACTAAAACAACCAGCTCAGAGAACGAAACACCACCACAATCATCCACCATCTCAAAAAAATTTGTAGACACCTCTTAATCATGAAGTATAGATCAGATTAACACATTTGAATGGAATCCTCTTACATGATCATTCGTAGCAAAATAATACTCAACTTCTAGGATAGATGTGTTTCGATTTTCGTTTGAATTTCACGTTACAATTAATCGTAGAATTTTGAACATTGAACACCCATGAACTGGTTCATTAAAACAATTAATTTCAACTATCTGTAGTAATATAAAAATACAGACAATTGATTAAAACAATCATTAGATTTTTTTTCAGTCATGACAATTACAGTAAATATCATTAATTATATTTTTTATTAATAACAATAGACTTCAATTTAGTTGACATTTTGTAAACACACTAATATAAACAATTTTTTGGCGGGAAAAAAGTGCGCTGTTTTTAAATCAGCAATTCTACTTTATAATGTGCAGAAAAATAATAATCTCTTTTGAAATATTGTTTTTTTGTATTCAGTTAAACATTGAAGTTCAATGTTTATTTAGTTTCTTGTCTGATAATAAATAGAAATTTAAAACAATTCGTTTGTTAGTTAAAAATATGTTCAAGAGGTTTGAAAAAACACTGTCTAGTCTCAAAATGAATCTTGACTCTATTTTTTTTTAAAAGAAAACCTAAGACAAATGAATCTAGTTTGAGTAATCGATAAATTCAAGTTTTTCCTTTTTCAAACTATGTACAATGTTTGTTATGTACAACAACTAACTACAACTGCGTTTGTTCACAATGAGGTTCGTTCAATAAATAGAAACACATCTGTTGTTCTTTGATATATTGAACGGAAATATCAGTGATTGAAAAAACATTATTTATACCTGGATTTATAAATGACATTTAATAGGTATAGAGGTATAGTTATTGATTTTGTTAAGATATACAATGTCTGCTGAGATTTGAACATAAAAAAAAATATTGACCCCTAGAATTGACTACTTAAATGAGTAGGCAAGTGTATAAGAGGAAGTATACGTATATATATATATGCATTACGGGGTTGTGAAGATTACTAAGTTACCCATTTTTGAAACCATGAATCGACAAATGTTAGACCACCATTAGAAACCTGGAAGCACTGGACGGCCGTTTCGTCCTGGTATGGGACTCCTCAGCAGAGCGCATCCACGACTCTTGCACCCCACAGGATTCGAACCCAGGTATCTAACGGTGTTAATGTCTACTACTACACTGGCTTTCTTCACTTGAGTTCTTTTCCTATGCATAGAATAGAAGAAAGTAGATCATTTGTGTTATGGTCGTCACTTGATATGCCTGAAACTATGACGAGTTCTTTTTAGTCGATAAACGAGAATGAGACAATGAACCAGTAACACGGTAGGCTACTTTGATTTGCTGCCCAGAACTAACTGACGGAAACGTCTTGGTATAGTGTAGAAAGTGTATTCTAAAAACACCCAGCCAGCACACAAATCACGTTTATTTATACATCATAGAAACGTCCTTGGTAAAGTCACGACAATAGCATACTAAAATAATGCGTCAACCAATCACTGGTGAGAAATGTGATCTCAAGGTCGACTTATCAGATATGATTTTCACTGAAGATTTAAGGATATTGTTAAATTGTATTGAAGTTATAAATAGATCACTGTTAGAGCATAATTAGAGAACTCGATGCAGTGAAAGGACATCTCCTCCTAGCTTGACACACATCAGCAATACAGATCCATAGCCCCCGCAGGCAGGAATCGGAATTAGTCTCGTAAGTGCGCGCGCACACTTGACCTCTAGACCAATGACCTAACATTCAACGGTATCAATGTCTAACTTCGAACAATCCACGATATTGCACTACCTTACCTATTGTCTTCTATAGGTAACTGCTTACACTCTCTAGAGTGTACCGATCAATGATAGACCACCACTAGAAACCTGGAAGCACTCGACGGCTGTTTCGTCCTGATATGGGACTCCTCAGTGGCAGTGCGCATCCACGACTCCTGCACCTCGCAGGATTCGAACCCAGGACCTCCGGTATTGTGCGCGAACGCCCTAACCGTTAGACCACTGAGCCGGTATCTAACGGTGTTAATGTCTAACTTGATCAAATTCACAAGGAAAATCTAACTTCAACAGCACAACTGAAATTCTTTTAGAAACACTACTTGCTCACTTGTTTATTTCTAAATCCATTTCTCTGATACATTTCTAGTTTGATGAAGATGTTGACAGAATGCAGAGCATTCTGTCCACCGTAAGCATCAGTTCAAGAATATTCAGGAAGTGATTATCGTCCACAAAATGCGAAATGTTTCTTAAGGATTAGCTTGCATCGGCGCGTGAATTAATGATAGGGAATGAAATAGATGAGTTTGTTGACCTCTTCGGTTATCTCGGTAGTCTCATAAGTGCTGAAGGCCTGGTGTCTAACGAAATCTCGACACGGATACAGAAGGCTTGACGGGCTTTTGGTAGCTTGCATCATTTATGGTGTAGGCGAGATATCTGTCTACTAACCAAAAGATGAGTTTGGTACTCAGCACTTCGTTCCTTATTACTACAAGGGGTTGAAACGAAACCATAAGAGTAGAACATATTAGTAAGCTACCAGTTTTTGATCACAGATGACTCCGAAGCATTGCTTGTTTATCTTGGGACTATCGCGTAAGCAATGCTGTTGCTAGGAAACGAGTACTAGGTAAGGATGGCAGATCAACTGACGAAGTATTGAAACTTCAACAGTCGACGTGGCTGGGATATTTGTTGCGTATGTTTAACCACCTACTGGCTCGCCTTGTGATGCCATGTGGTGTAGGGATAGGCTGGATGAAAGTTAGAGGTGGTTGAACCGAATCATGGGACAAATCCATTTAGACGTTGGTAACGAAATCGAGCCATGTTGACAGATGTAGACTAACTGATTGGAGTTCATGAGACAATAGTAACTGATGGCAAAAATCGGTTAGACATAAGCCAAGTAAGAATACACATACATACTTCCGAATAAAAGCAACCCTATTCATGAGCAAATGGTTGGCAAGGTTGAAGGACGAGTAAGTAATAACTTGGGAATAATGGATTGATGAAGTTGCCCTAAGTCTGAGACACACCCTGTGGGTTCGACATAAAAGTACACACACACACACTACAAGGGTTTCACAACTCCCCTAGAAGGAATCTCTATATTCAACTGCCATCCAATTGTCACCTAAGCCATAAGAAGCCGGTAAGCAGGACTTCCTTGACAATCTTATTATTATAATCAGCTACTTATGGTTTCATATAATTACAGTAAGTTTTAAAGAGTATTTCATTTACTGATCGAATAACTTCATCAATTGTTTTCCCTTTTTTTTCAAATTCTAATTCTCTAAATATTCAGCTTTCAATACTACGCTGATTGCATGGGATGCTGATAATACCACAATCTGTAAGAATAATGGACATACAACGAGAAAGAATAAACGTAAGTTTAGAAATTATTCATATTTGACAAGAAAATTTAATGATTTCATTGAAATGATGAGTCAGTTATTGTTAGAACAATAATAGAAACCTGGAAGCACTGGACGGTTGTCAAATCCTTGTATAGAGCTCATCAGTGATAGTGCGCATGCACGAACCCCAATCAATAAAACAACAGCAACGTAGAACTTGCTACATACATACATCAGTTCATGTTGCCGTGGTACATTAGCACAGAGATGTAATTGTCAATTCAAATCGAACAGTAGTAGAGGTAGTAAAGGTATTAGCAGTAGTCGAAGAGGTTAGGATTAGAAGATATTATTCAAGAAGTATGATTCAGTGTGATAAATCTAGAAAGAGAAAGATAGAGGTGATGAGGGATTCTTGAGATTAGAATTTGAGAGAACACAAAGAATGAAGGCACCTGCACTATTGCAAACGATTTCAGCCATGTCATTCAAGGTCTCTAACCATCGGTAACTTTCGTCTCGCGGACCCCAACCAGGTAGCCTACATCTACCAACATGACTAAGTCCACTTGTTAGTGACTTCATGGATTTCTGCCATGTTTTGGTCAGGCCGCCCCTATCCTGCACGACCCCCACTCACATTAATCGAACCCAAGATGTTCAGTCTTGCATGGGAACGCTTAACCTCTAGACCACTGACCCGGCTGGCATCCAACTGTGTTAATGTCTAACTTTGATCGATCCAAGAAATCGCATGACATCATAAAAATGTGCTCCGTAGTCACTAGTTTCGTGAGGAAATTCTCTGATTACTAATGGGAAGCTGTCAACAATGAAGCTCAACCTTGTCAGGTGTGGGCACTTACCTGCTGAAGACAACGACTGAGGTTGTGCAATACCTTTTAATAACACCTTTGGATGCTAACTGTGTGATATACACGTTAAACGTTCGAGCATGCAACAAGAGGCCCATGGTTCGATTCTCATGTACGGGATCGTGAATGCATACTGCCACTGATGAGTCCTATACTAGGACAAAACGGTTGTTGAGTGCATCCAGGTTTCTTGAAAAGTTTCGTGTTACAGACTAAAATTAATTGAAAAAAGCCAATAATCATTAGACTGTTACTTTGTCTTGATATATGACAATTTTAACAGTTCTTATATACAACGATACCTAAAATTGCTTCCATATTTCAGTAGATAAGCATGTTGTCATTAAAGCATTAATTTCAAATAGCACTAATAACTTGTTTAGAGTCAAACAATTCAAGATGTTTTGTTTATATGTAATCTCTTCCACTACGATCAACAACTCATATTTGATAATAAGAAAAGCAACATCAGTTAAATACTTACTTACTCACTTACCTACTTACTCACCTACTTACTTACTCACTAACTTGCTTACTCACTTACCTAACTACTTGCTTACCCACTTACTTACTTACTTACTTACTTACTTAATCAGTTACCTATTCACTTACTTAACTACTTACTTACTTAATCACTTAATCACTTACTTACTTACTTACTTACTTACTTACTTACTTACTTACTTACTTACTTACTTTCTCACTTACTTACTTACTTACTTACTCACTTCCTTACTTACTTACTTAGTTATGCACTTACTTACTTACTTACTTACTTATGCACTTACTTACTTACTTACTTACACCTGTTCCCCCCAATGGAGTATAGGCCGCCAACCAGCATACTCCAACCTACTCTGTCATCCACCTTCTATTCTAGTTCCACCTAAATCTTGCTCATCCTACTTATGTCTGTCTACGATTCTTGGCGTAATATGTTTCTCTTCTCCTCAGACCTTGAGGATTTCAAGTGAGGGTTTTTTTACCTCAATCTGTGTCCTCCTCACCGTCTTCAGAGCTTCTTCCTGACTTCTTCTTTTGCTAGAATCTGATTTCTAGTTACTGTTTCACACAAAATTTTGACGAATCCTTTCAAAGTTATGTTCTAATATGTAGAAAGTTTTGGTAATTAAATTTAGTCTCTTTCAGATTATTTATTGTGAAAGGTTACTCTATTATATTTACTTATCTTGAAATGTTAACAGTTTGATAACCAGTGGATGAATAAGACATCATTTTACACAGAATAGATACTTTATGACCACGAGTCCAAACCATAATGCACTTTTTGTCTATCTATTCTCTATAAACTTGTATCATTATGTCTAAATCGAGGCAATCCACATAGCATGCCCATATACTATCAAACCATTTCTCATTGAATTTAATGAAATCCCTACGCTACTCTCAATTGGTCGGTTAGAGATTTCTTCACGCAACTCTGACTAATATCGATTCACTACTCTATCGGAATAATTATTGACAACCAACGTTATGTGATTAGTTTACAAAATCGATATTTAACAAGTGATTCACTCTCTCATCACTACTTCTTTTTTCCCTATTCACTTACCGATTACATTCTTTAACGCTAATCATAGGTTTATTCATTCAGTTTGTTTGGCAAAATGATAAAATATAAATTAAACAGGAATATTATCAATTGAAATGTCAAATTGTTTACACATGTGCCTAGATCTATAAATAGATATGTAGATATGTATTGTGAATACTTGACTAGGTTATTTATTATTGTATACTATGTACGGCATATTTGTATGATCGATTTGTATAAGTTATTTAGTTATCAAAAGAATTACAGTAATCAGTCAGTCAGTCAGATGCAACGTAGAACTTCGTACGTAGGTACATCAGTTCATGTTTCCATACCACATCAGCACAGAGATGTGAGAAGGCAGCATCGCTACAGATGCTGGTTGTCATACCCCTCTGCAGTCAGCAGTACGACTTCGCCCTCAGACCTTGGGTAGCTGCTTTCAGTCTCATCGTTCTCCAATCGACCTGTCTCGCATGGTAGAACCTTCAGGAACATATGTTCAGGCCAGTATAGCTCGGTTGACTCTAGTGGAGTTCAACCCCGTCAGGTGTAGCCAGTAACTACCGAAGACAGATGGGTCGGGTCTATGAAAATCCTTAGATTGATCAAAGTTAGTTATTAACACGATTGGATGCCGACTCAGTGGTTCACAGTTTATGCGTTTGGTCGTAAGACTGAAGTTTCTTGGTTCGAATCCTACGAGTGGCAGGAGTTGTGGATGCGCATTACTGATGAAGTCCATACCAGGACGAAACAATCTTTGAGTGCTTTCAGGTTTCTAATGGTGGTGGTCTAACAATAAATTCATTAATGTTTTCAGTGTATGAACATGAAAATGTTGACTCCAGTAAGTGTCAAAATGTACAAAGAAATCATGTGTATTCCAAGTTTCTACTGTAGACTGAAAACAACATGATAATCGTGAAAAAATCCTCAAACAGAGATGTGATGGAGACTGAAGCACTTTGATAGATTGAACATTGAATTCATTTAAATGAGCTCTATTTGTTTGTTTGAAACGATTTTTAGAACCAGCGCGTAATCCAATCGCTTTAACTGGTGACCTTGGTGATGAAGTTAATGGACTGCGTAAAACGAATTGTTCACGTAATGGAACTCCTAGAGAACGTAAGTTTGCCTCATTTTGATAGCTACTTAGTAAAAACTTGAAGTTTTACCCGCGCTTACATTTTTAAAAATCTTATCAAGTAAAACAAAAAGCGGTGATTTATAAATTGAATGTCAAAAATACTGTCTAACTTCCTTTTCTACCTGATTTTTTCCATTCTTCAATACTCTGCTCTGTTCAGTCAACAATATAAACTGACGGCTTATTAATCATATCGCATAATATATATCAGTGACATTAGTAGTTGTGGAAACCTTAGAATGCTTCACATTTGTGACAATACCTTTATTCTCTCTTAATTCCCATCGTCATTCGTAATTCTTAGAAGTTAGACTTTTCAGTTGTTCTGACTTTTTTGGTCTCATCTATCATTGAAACAGTTGATTTATTGGAAGAAAGTAACTTTCAAGTTGTTTTACTGTACCAATAAATCAAACTTGACCTTGAAATACAACCGGAAGACTATTTGAAACATATAGAATAGACAAATTTCAAATTTGTGATTTATGATCGAATCTACCTATAAATAGAGTTGGAGAAAGTTAAAACAGTAATAAAAAGTCTCAAAGTAAAATCCATTTTATTGGTACTCTATCTGAGATGAATCACTGATAATAAGTCTTCAATTGAACAAAAGTTTCAGTCGATCATTGTTAGATCACTATTAGATACCTGAAAGTACTGAACGACCGTCAAGTCCTAGTATCAGACTCATCAGAAGTGTGCGTGCATCTAACTACAATAATCTTCACAATTCTATCAATGTAATCACAAGTGACTAGCTTCGTGAAGAAATTCTCAGAGTTCTAATCAGAAGTCTTGACTAGTGGAGTTTAACCCTGTCGGGTATTGGCAGTTACACACACTGAAGACGTTGCATGAGGTTGAACAAAACCTTTCATTAATCAAGGTTAAACATGCCAGTTCGATGGTCTAGTGGTTAAGCATTCACGTACGCCACCAGGAACGACGTTTCGCGAACTCGCATCGTTTGCATTGGCTGTGCACTGTGATAAAAGAATATGAGAAGAGTCAGTCGTGAAGAGAAGAGAGGTAATAGGGGGTGTAGGAAGGATATGATTTTGACCAATTTGGTCTCGTGTGCTGTCACGGGTATGAGGGCAGTTATCACTTCCCGGCTACCCACACCGTGGAAGGTTGTTTCTTGAGGGACCTGAAAAGGAAGAAAGATTAGTGTTGGTCTTGGAGACCTGGGTGCGTGACCGCAGAGCCCAAGAGACAACTGCTTGAGGCCGGTCACGCACGGCCTTTTTATGAGAAGTTTTTTGAGTGTTAGCTGCGCTCTTGAAAGCCCTTAGTGGTCACGCTTACCGCCAAGACGGAAATCCGTGAGGTAGGGTGAGGTGTGACATTTTTAGGGTCGACCTTTTCTAACCTTTCCTTCTTTGTGAGAAGGCACCATCGCTGCAGATGCTGGTTGTCCGAGGGAAACACCTTACTGCTCTCACACCCCTCCATCACAGTCAGCAGTACGACTTCGCCCTCAGACCTTGAGTAGCTGTTTTTAGTCTCATCGTTCTGCAATCGACCTGCCTGGCATGGTAGAACCTTCAGGAACAAATGTTCCAGCCAATATAGCTCGGTTGAGTCATCACGATAGGCAAGCCCGACCACCACGTCAAGGTAGCAGCTCCGGTCGGGGACGTACGCCACCGAAGGTCCTGAGTTCGATTTCCGCGAGCGGAGGTCTTGGATGCGTTTCCAGGCTTCTAATCGTAGTCTATCAATGATCGACTCATGATTTTAATAAAACTCACCAGTCTACACAATTGTATAGTGAGAATTTATTTTCAATCTCTCTCTCCTGTCCCCTAAACACTACTAGAATTAAAAAGGACAAACTGATTCTGCATAAATCATTTCCCACAATCATGAATATTAGAAAAATGGTTTATTATGAAATCCCCAATCTTTTTCCCATGTCGCTAGAATAAAACATGAATATTGAGCGTAAAATTTCAAATCAATACTGCTAAAATAAAAATCAATCAATAAATCAATTTGATTGGTTAAAATTCGAATGAGATTAGATTAAGAGATTTGTAATTTGATCAGAGATGATGATTACAACATGTTTTTCACGGATTATACAGTTAATAATGATTTCTTTCATAGTATTAAACAGTTACCAATGTTTCCATCCTGTATATGAGGTTGTGAATGTTCATTGTCAGCGTAATTTACAATAGAACGAAGAAATTTGTGTAGTACATTAAATTATCGTTTCTGTTTCAGTTATTCAATTGGGAAAACCAGTATTTTTGACTACTGTACTTACTTGCGCCTGTCACCCCCCAATGGAGCATAGGCCGCCAACTAGTATTCTTCAACCAAACTCTGTCCTCAGCCTTCCTTTCCTGTGTTTTTTGGTGTTCCTCTTTTCCTTTGGCCTTCAGGATTCTAGGTGATGACTAGTTTTGTGATCAGCTTGATGCATTTCTCATTGTGTGTCCTATCTACTAACTCCAAGGCTTCTTCCTGAGTTCGTCCTCTGTTGAAATCTAGTTTGTTCTCTCCCAGAGTAAGTGGTTACTGATAGTGCCTGGTCAATGGATCAGAAGTATTTTGCGATAACAACTGTTAATAAACACTTGTAGCTTGTGGATGATGGCTTTCGTGGTTCTTTAAGTTTGCGTCCCATACAGCAGAACCGTCTAGACATTTGTATTGAAAAGTCTGACTTAGAATTTGAGTTCTTTGAGTTCTAGACTTTCTTTAACCACAGAAAGGCTGCGCTTTCTTTGCCAGTCCACGTCTTCAAATCAGCACAGACCCATCTTGCTCATCAGTGATGCTGCTCAGATATGTAAAGGATTATTCAGGTTCTGAAGCTTCTCCGTCAAGTGTGATTTCGTTGGTGCATGCTGTATTGTATTGTAGGATCTTGCTTTTTTCCCTTGTGTATTTTGATACATACTGCCACAGAGGTTGCTTCTATACTGGTCGTCTTCTCTTACATTTGTCGTTGTGTGTGGGATAGTAGAGCCAGATCATCTGAGAAGTCTAGATCGTACAGCTTCGCCCTGACTGTCCATTGTATTCCCTGCTTCCCTCCAGATTTTGAAGTCTTACTAATCCAGTTCCTCATCAGGAGAAAGAGAGGGTGAGAGTAAGCAACCCTACCTTATACCGGTCTACACCTCAAATGAGTCTGTCAGCTGTTCTCCATGCACAGTTTTGCAGTTTAACCCATCAAAACAATTCCGTATGATGCTGACAATCTTATCAGGCACGTCTTGGTGTCGAAGAAGCCTCTATGGTGTTATACAATCCACACTATCAATTGCTTTCTGTTAGTCATTGAATTTGATGTAGAGTGGTGACTTTCATTCAACTGATTGTTCCATAATGATCCGTAATGTCATGATTAGGTTGGTATATGATGCATACTTACGGAATCCAAGCTGTTGATCTCAAAATTCGGCGTCTACTGAATCTTTCATTTTGTACAACAACACTTTATTCGAGACTTCTCATGATGTAGTATAGTGTAGTTCCCACACTTGCTAAAATCTTACCTTGGTATCTTGATGAGTTATCCTACTTTAACATCTGTTAGCATGTGTTCTTCCTCAATAATCTTGCTGAAGAGATCGTGCAACTTCTTTGCAGCTAATGGCATGTTGTCTGATCCTGCTGCTTTGCCACTCTTGATTTGTCTGTTAGCCGTGCTGACAACTTCGACTGTTGATAGGTCAACATCGATTGGTAGGTCTGTGGGTGCTGTATCGATTTACTAACAAACTCATTATTATCGAGTATTATTTTTGAGGGTGGATAATGCGAACTTCATTGAATAGTGTTTCTTAACGGTTTTTATAGTAAAATGATAGTGTTTCTCGTTAGGGTCGAGCAAATTAACTTGTTCAACCTTAGGTAATTTTAAACAAATATTAGTTTAATTAAAAATAATTTTTAATTTAGGGCGTTGTAAATGTCAAAATATACAAGATTGTTTTAATTAACAAGCGGTAATTTAAACAGTGAATAATTTAGAAATAACAAGACTAGTACAAATTCAAGAGTCGTTCGTTAGTTGCATACAAACTCATGGCTATTAGAACTAGTTGTAACACGCTACAATAAGGAATCGACAAAAATACATTATCTGTCTAAACGATGATCCCAAGTTGGCTACTTGGATAACAGCATTAAGAGTGAAAAAGGAAGTTTATTGATACATATGACTAACTCATTCAGACATGTGTATAAGCGGTGACCTATGGAGTTCGACACTGTCGGCTGTAGACAGTAACTACCGAAGACAATAGGTGAGGTTGTGAAGAAAACTTAGATCGATCAAATCTAGGCATTAACACCGTTAGATGCCTGATCAGTGGTCTAGAGGTTAAGCGTTCGCGCGCGAGACCGAAGCTCATGAGTTTGATTCTCGCGTTCGAGTGTCGTGAGTGAGCACTATTGAAGAGTCCTATACCAGGATGAAATGGCCTTTGATTGCTTCCAGGTTTCTTATAGGTGGTCTAACAATGATCGATTCATGATTTTAATATTTCCAGGCTAATTATTTTGGTCATTTTATGATTAGCCTAATGTGTTGCAAAGTTTTATGTTCAAAGTAATCATAGTCACTGTTTTACGCTTCTGTTAACTTAACTCCTAACTAAATTTATTATCATATTTCAACAATTTTCTGATTCGAAATTCAATATTTTTAAAACATCTTTGGATGGTATTCATTTTCCGTCTAAGTGTTAGTTAGTAATAATTTTCACATGAAAGGATTGTGGAGATTATTGATTTATGCCTCAATTAGAAACCTAGAAGCACTGAACCACCATGACGCTCAAGACGAAAGGCCCCGGGTTTGAATCCTGTGAGTCGTGGATACGCACTGTCACGGATAAGTTTCAAACCCGGACGAAACGGCCGTCCAGTGCTTCAACATTTCTAATCATCCTCTAACGTTAATTGAATCATGATTTCAATGCGTAAACCAACGATCTCCATAAAAATACAGAATGACGAAAATACATTTTGAAAACCCTGATAAAAAATAGCTTACAACCATGTACTAACAATTATCTTGTTTCGAGATTGATTAACTGACTGAAGTATTTGTTAGAGGTCGTTACTGGTGAAATTCCTTTATATCAAGAGTTCGACGGCATTAATGATGTTGAATGATGACTACTTGATGTCATCGAGGTGTCTGAGGTAGATGGATCAAATTTTGAAGTGCTCATTTACACTTTAAACAAAATTATCAGTTTTCGTTTTTGTTGGGGATGTTAGATCCCCAAAACGCGCTTGTTAAATGCCTTATTTCGGATTTCACGTTTGCCAGCATGAGCTGATCAGTTGACCTTGAGATTTCATTTACCACTGGGAAAATCCATGGCTATGATCGGCTGCCGTGTATATTAGTGTGCTATTTTCATAACTGTCCCAAGGACGTTTCTATGATGTATAAATAAACGAGAGTTGTATGCTTGATTGTATTGTGATTGCTGGGTGTTTGTAGAATATACTTTCTACGCTTATCAGGTCTTCTGTTTCAAAGTTTGGGATTCAAGGTAACCTATCTGGAAGCTGGTTCATTGTCTCGTTCGCGTTTATCGACTAAGGTGAACTCGTAATAGCTTCAAGCGTACATAGTGACGAACATAATAGTTTTATGTAGAAGTGAGCTGTTTCGTTACTTCACTAGAGCAATTTAGTATTTCTTTAGGGTAGGCTTGCTTGTGATCTCTAGACATTTGGTTACTTGACCTTGTCTAAATGCCTTAGTATATTGCAAACCCACGTCGGATCACAAATCTATGGCCTAAATTCTAACCAGAAGCCTTCAAATGTGAAGATTCTGTTTTTGATGCTTAAAAAGGTACAAATTATTGGGGAATCTTTATTGCTCAAGTCAATCAGTTACTTAGTTCTACTGTAGTGAAGGAGAACACAGGTGGGGCAACCGAATTGTATTTAACGGAAATTACAGAGTTACTCAGTAAAATAGGAAAACCATATCGTAAATCGTTAGTTAATTTGCAAAATATCAGTTCATCATATCGAACTGGACTGTTCCTGTTGCAAAACATCAATCCATTGTCACTATTCATGCGTTTCATAAAAATTTATCATTGTGTTCTAACTCTTCCTTTCTTGATCTTCCCCCATTTTCTGCTGTCAGACATTACGTTGACACTCACGTCATATACTACTTATAAGTAGCTCACACCACACTACATCACATAGAATCTTGGCACACATTGAAATCTGAATATCAAATTGTAAACTGATTGTAGTCAGCGGGAAGATGAAATCTATGATTCCTATTGTTTGACTCGATCTCTTCAAATCAACAAAAGACACCATTTACATGAAACAAGTTGATTGAAATCCAGATGATATTAACCATAGTCCAAGTGTTTATTCGAATTGAGTTGACTTATTTCATTCGTTTCTCCCCAAAACCCTCAATTGTTGACCTGCTTCAATCAATATTATCTGAAAAAACTCAATTACAACAATGAGTCATCAAATTTCAAAATACATTTATCTATGAAGTAATAATAAGTGGAGTTTGAATAATCAATCCATTGAACAATGAATGAATCATCAACAATTGATCAAACGCGCGAATATTTTTAATTTTGGCCCCGAAAAATTTTATAAATTGACCAATCCGCTTTAAATACTCGACTAAACTAGATTAGACTAGACTATTTTCAACTTTCTCCATTCAAACGATTACTGTCATGCATATTGATTAGTTCAAGTAAAGTTTTTTTGTAAATTTTTATCAGAGAGACAAATTTTGAATAAGATAGATAAAAAGTTTTTTTGGCAAAACACTTTTTTATTTTCCCCTCGGGTCTTGTTAATATGAATTTTGTAATGTTTCCAAAAAAGTTACTCAAGCATCTCGAATATTTAACAGTATTTTTCATTGATTAGTTGAATTGAATAAAGTTTTGTCGATATTTGACAAATATGAATTATTTTGTCAACTAGAGTTTTTTACTGACTGAAATTATCAATCGATCGTTGTTAGAAAACCAATAGAAATCTGTAAGCACTGAACGGCCATTCTGGTCTGGAATGGGACTATGCATCAGCAGTATACACCCATGACTCCTGTTACATTCAGGATCCGAACCTAGAGCCTTCGATCTTGTGCTCGAACACCTAACCTCTGGATCACTGAGCCGGTATCTAACGGTTTTAATGTCTAACCTTGATCAAGCTAGGGAATTTAAGTGACCTCACCCATTTTATCAATAAATATGATTAATAAGCCTTATTTCTTTCTTACTATGAATTGAATTGTTCATGTTAAAATTTTCTGCTCGATTTGAAATCCATCTTGATTTTTTTACTTTTCATTGTACTGAATTTTGCTTCTTACATTGTGTTGATGTGAAGTTCTATGGCTGAAAGTGTTTCACATATTCCGACCAGGTTCTATACGGATAGATCATTAAGGACTCATTAAAAATGGATGTAGATACTGAAGAATGAAGACATTTAAGTAGTTATGATGGTGTGAACTAGAATTATTGTACTGTAAAAGGCATGTTTTACTATTTTCCTCTAATTTACTGAATTGTTTTATTAGTATAAGTTACCAATACAATCTGTTAGTTTCTAACTTAGTCTTTTCGAAAGTTAGGTCCTAATCATGAGACCTGATGATGATGGACTCAATCCATGGAGCGGTCGTGGGTTCGCACTGTTAAAGATTCCGAAGTACTGAGGTGTAACAGCTATTCAATACTTGCTGATCTTTTGATGGTTGTCTAATGAAGTTCACTGTGTCATGTACACTATGAAAAGTCACTTCATTTGGAATTATTTTGGTGATAAACTGTAGTTTATCTGGGTTAGGGTGTTCTTATTTGTCAATCAAAGACAGGATATTTGTAAAGAGTGATCAGTGGTTTGTTCGGATATAACATATTGATGGTCTTTGCATATCGTTCAGCAAGTTAAGATCTGTGTTCCAGTACTACTTCAAAAGTAATGTAATCAACTATCTCCTTCCTATGATAATTTTTCTAGTGTTTCTAAATGGAAACTTATAGAATACTGACCTTCTTCGATGACATGGTGCTATCATGTTATCACTCAATTTAAATCATATCCAGTGTGAAGACACATACAACACAGAACTTCGTACATAAGTACATCAGTTCAGGTTGCCATACCACGTCAGCACAGAGACGTAACTGTCAGTTCAAATCCAACAGTGATAGTGATAGTAGAATTATTAGCAGCAATGGAGAAGACTAGGGAGCGAAGATATGCTTCGAAAAGTATAATTGAGTGCGATAAATTTAGGAGGAGAAAGATAGTGATTATGAGGAATTCAAAGGTTAGAATTAAAAAACATACAAAGAGTGGATGCACTTGCGCCATTGCAAACGATTCTGAGCCATGTCATTCAAGGTCTCTAACCATTGGTGACTTTCGTCTCTTCAGTGTGAATCATGAAAAGTATTCAAAAGTCTTACGCGTCTTATGCCTCATGGAGTATAGACCACTGACCAGGATTCTCAAATCAATTCTTTCTTGGGCTCCCTGTTCCAGTTGTTCCTTATTAATGTTTATACTTCTGATGACTGCCTCTTATCCTTATTGCAATATATTTTTGGATATTTCTGTTTTAACTTGGTTTCAGGGATTCCAAGTTAAGTCTTGTCTCATAATGCAGTTGAGAGCTTTCGTCAATGTGTTCAATCCGGCTCCAGTGTTTTTTTCCAGATGTCTTCCATAGCTTGAAGCTGATTTGTTCTATACCAAACTACAAGTGGACTGAGTCATGTTGCTAGATGTAGGCTACCTGGTTGGGGTCAGCCAGACGATAATCACCGATGGTTAGAGACCTTCAACGACATGACTCAGAATCGTTTGCAATGGCGCAGGTGCATCCACTCTTTGTGTTCTATGAAATTCTAAGCTTCTGCACTTCTCATTATCTCTATCTTTCTCCTTCTAAATTTATCTTATTGAATTATACTTCTCGAATCATATCTTCTCTCACTAATCTTCTCCATTGCTGCTTATACTTCTACTATCTCTATCACTCTTGGATTTGAATTGACAGTTACGTCTCTTTGCTGATGTGGTATGGCAACCTGAACTGATGTACTTATGTACGAAGTTCTGCGTTGTACCTGTATGTCTGACACTACATTGTTATTAATGTCATCTTACCAATAAATCTGGAGTATCTTACGTAGAAAACTATCAATAAATACCTGTATCTTTTCCATGGCGGTTTTTTCATAGTTCTCCATGTTTTAGCTTCATACAAAATCGAACTAGTTTGACGCCTATATATGGGTTTATACTCATTTCGTTTAATATATATATATATATATATATATATATATATATATATATATATATATATTTGTACATTTGCCATATATATCTACAGCACAACGTGATCCTATTTCTGGACGAGGTGATTTCGGTGAACGTGAATGGGATCCAATTGGTAGATATAATGGGAAAACTAGACGAGCTAAAAGTTCCACTGGTAAGCTGAAATTTTATTTTTCTATGAAAAAAACAACTGTCAACTGTTCATTAAAATATCCTATATGAATGAATTTATAACCTGATTTGTTTGAAACACCTTTTAGTGATGACCTAGAATTTGACTTTAGCTTGTATGAACGACCGAATATGCTGAGAAATAAATATCCAAATTAGGCTAACCTTGTTTGTAGGACGACAGTAGTAATAAGAAGCCAGTTATCGACTGAATAGGTAACTTGATTTCATATATTCGTGTTTGTAGACAGACGTAAGAATGAGAAGTGAAGCGTTGTAAGATAAAAGCGGAGAAGTAGATTGAGGCATGTCTAAGTATTTTTAGTCAGACAAAAGTAAACTAACGACATGCCAATAAGTGAAATAAACGACTTATCCACACACACACACACACACTTAAGTAAGATCACCCAAGGTTATAAGTAAATAATTAACAAGGTCACAATATGTGTAAATAGATACCGAGTGTACCGTGCTAAGATATAATTCGGTTGTTGAAAGTAGTCAAAAGGTAGTCTTTCTTGACCTAGGGTTTCATGCTAGGTGTAGCTGTACGCTTAAGGGAACCCGAGATGCTCTCTGTGTCAGTAAACTTCACAGTTATAGAGATAACAATTGAGTTATTACTACTGAGTAAACTGTATATCACTTTTTCTGTATGTTATAGTATATTTGTGATTTTTTTACTCATATTGTGGTGTGAGCTACTTATAAGTAGTATATGACGTGAGAGTAAACGTAATGTCTGGCAGCAGAAGATGGGGGAAGATCAAGAAAGGAAGAGCGGGAACACAATGGAATTTGTATGAAACGCATGATTAGTGACAATGGATTGATGTTTTGCAACAGGAACAGTCCAGTTCGATATGATGAACTGATATTTTGCAAATTAACAATTTACGATATGGTCTTGCGATTTTACTGAGTAACTCTGTAATTTCCGTCAAATACAATCCGGTTGCCCCATCTGTGTTCTCGTTCACTACAATATAAATACATATCCCGATTACAGAATGACTATTTATAAACTAAGTAACTAATCGATTGAAAATTTGGAGAAAACTAGATCGGAAATGATATTTCACACTACTTCCTAGTGTGTGTTCTATCATGATAAATGTTTTAAGTGAAAAATGTATGTTCAAACTGAATTTAAAATTGGTCAGTAGAAGAAAATTGCCAAAAGTTCAAATTAGTGATTTGTAGAATGTACTGTTCAAGTTTAAAATATTCTCGTCAATGAAGAAAAGCGTTCAATAGGTAATGATTGAAAATCGATGACAACTGGATAGTTAGTTCAGAGGTTAGGCGTTCACATGCAAAACCGAATGTCGTAGGTTCGAATCCTGTGAGTAGCAGGAGTTGTGGATGTGCACTGCCAATGAGTCCCATACCAGGACGAAACGTCCGTCTTTCAGTGCCTGCGGGTTTCTAATAGAGGTCTAACGATGATTGATTCTTTGGTTTCAATAGATAAAATCAAAGGAAATTGTTAGATATTGGCTCAACGATCAAGAGACTAAGCATTTGCGCGCTCATCGGAATGTCGTGAGTTCGATTTCCACTTGAAAAGTCATGAATTACTCATTGTTGATGAGTCGAATACTGGGACGAATCGACAGTCCAGTTCTTGCAGGTTTCATGATTTTGATAAAACCCGACAATCGTTACAACCCTTTAATAACAGTTAAATGTTTTCCTTATGAAATGGTTGATTGTCAACATTCACCTAATCAATATGTGAGTGAACTCACTTAATTCAGCTTTAACAACCAGCACAACACATTCGATGATTGAGAGCTTGACATTTAAATGCCTAACTTTTCGTCTTTTATTATAATGATTTATTCTAATTTTTAAAGTAAATCATATGCTTTGAGTAAATTTGGGAAACCAAGATGAATTTTGTACGCTAGTTGACAAAGTATACTTTTAATCAAGCTGATGAAGATAATCTAATTGATAAATTACAGCGTACTTAAAAATATTTAAGTAGTATAAATTATTCTATGAAATTAAGAATCACCAGAAATACATTTTGTTTTATTTTGATATAGGCATCCGAACTAATCCATTGACTGGTGAAAATATGAAAACATTCACTCTAATGGCAGATGAACGATGTACATACAGAGATAGTGATATATGTAAACGAAATGGTAAATGATTCTAATATTTCTGTTATGTGGGTTTAACGAGTAAAGATTTTTAATGGAGAATGTAATTATGAAATATAAAATAGTTTACAGTTCAAACAAATTTCGCGTATGTAATTTCAACTTAGCAATAATATATGAAAATTTAGTGTACTGTTATTTACGTTTGACACCAACAAGTAAGGTTTAGTTCTACTGATGCAGAAACTAATGCTTTATGTACGATTGCAATTCCCAACTCAACTTCGGAATATGTTAAAGGCGATAACTTTGGATGTGACATTAGATAGTTCAAGTTTGAACCTTTCAAGAACAGCCCTCTGTTTTAGTCATATGAGAACCAATATACCTCATATAACAATTACATAGTACAACCGACAACTGATTCATAAACTCTGAGCATGTATTCTTTGAACTTTTTTGTGGCCTCGAAAACAGCTCATACTTGATACTGGAACTGAGAAAGGTTTCCACGATACAAATAAAGACATAAAACCCATACAGATGACAAATTGTAACACTTTCGCAAGACATATCAATAGTTGACATAATGGCAAGTAAGTAGCACTGACAACTTGAACCTGCGAATTGTACAGCTCAAGTAAGAACACGATGACAGTGTGTAGAAAATTTGTAGTTCACGGCGAATGATTGTGGTGGTGATTCGTTCTCTGTGAGTTGAATATTTTGGTTGTGGAGCTTTCGTTGTTCTTCTGAACAATAACATCAGCAAAAACTTCAGATAGAAGTGAAGCATTCGAATTTCTCCCCGTTTGACCTTTAGGTTGTTCTGTTAACCTCGATGTTGATTGGGTGCTGTTGACCTTAAGCTTGTCGTTGTTTGCACCTTTCTTTTGATTATATCCCTCTTTGATCTGTTTCTTGATCCCATTTTTGATTAAGATTTTTCTGATTGGTTGATAAATTGGGTCAATGTCGATGTGTCTGTTGATTACAGCCAAAATATTCAGCTCAGAGAATGGAACTCCACTACAATACGAACACGATGTTAAACAAGGATTCATTTTCATTACAAATAACTAAAGACAATAATTTTGATATGATTTACACTGAATATTAGTTAGCGTCGTAGGTATTAATCTGACTAGTACATAACATTAGTTATTCAGTAATTATCTGACCAGTCAACCATACAAACCGTCGATAACCAACAGACATGACGAATAAGATCATCCATTCCTTCCTAAAATGTGGTTCAATATCATAAGTAACTGAAACATGACACCAGTTTTGCATATCATCAACCTTTCAATCAATTAAGACTTCACTGATCATCGTGATTCTTGAATCTAAAACAATTATAACCGTGAATTAGTCTGGTTGAGATAAATGATATTGAAAGACTTCTTACAAGCACCTTCCGTTGAATTAACCAACTAAATCAATAACTAGGGATCCCTTAATAAAATGTTATTGATTCACCTCGTACCAAATAGATTTGAATACGCAGAAAATAGTTTAAAGTCGAATTGATAATCAAAAATATTTCATGCTTTTATGTTGAAATGAATTTTCTCTGTAAACGTTTAATATGATCTTTACTTCATTTTCAAAAAAAATTAGTTTCGACAAAAAATATTTTAACTGGAGAAAATTGTGAGAATTATACAGTTTCACCGGAATTGAAATCACCAAGTAAACGTATGCAACGAGGTAAGTGATGGGAAATGAAAAAATATTTTTCAATGGTTTTTTTACCTACTTATAAGTAGTGTAAATTGACTAGCAAAGTTTAATAAGTCTGTCATGACTCACTTTTCGATGAACTCTGAATCGCGAGGAAAAAATTTTTCAATTATTGCTAGCCTCCAATGTCACCAACCTCAAGCACTGGTGTAAATTATTTTTCACGTGAGCATGAATTTTCGAACTACTGGACGGCTGTTTCATCCTAGTATGGGACTCATCAACAGTGCGTGTAAACGACTCCTGCTCACAGAAATAGAACTCAGGACTTTCGGTTTTACGCGTGAACGCTTTACCCCTTGAAAACTTACCTGGCATCGAACAGAGTGAATGTCTACCTTAAGTCAATCCAAAGTATTGAGCGACCTCACTATTTGGTAGGTAGATTGATAGGTTTGGATATCACTGGTGATGGCTTCTCAACACTGATAATGTACTTGCGATAGACAAAACTCAAGTTGAAGGCTCACTAGAAATTATCGCCAACTAATAAACATGAAATGAGCTAAAAGATGTGATGTTGAATTATTTAAACCAGTTCTAGAATAATGTTAATAAGTGGTATCGATTTTAGAAGTTGATATGTTAAAATCTTAAAACCCAAAGAACTGTTAAGCCTTCACTAATTATTGATCAAGTTTATTGGTTGGTAAAGTGGATAACCAGTAAGGAAGTGTTTCGTTTCAGTAAGTTGCGATAATTTATGAATGATGGATGAATCTCGCATTATGTCTGAGCATTGATAATCTATTCCAAATTCACCACAACATACATGTTCCAATTTCATTTGCGGTCACAAACTACTTTGAATTAGTAAGTAGGATAACTATTTTACGAAAATAAATGAGTTTGTAGACAGCATAACCCACCTTCAACTAGTCAGTCTGTTTCACAACGATTATTGCTCATCATCAAAGTGTGTCTGTATTTGTGATGCTCATCACCTGATATGCTTGAATGCTATTAAGAGTTCACCTTAGTTGGTAAATGAGAACGAAGACAAATAATCCAGTGACACGATAGACTACTCTAATCACAGCGTCCCAAGGCCCCACTAAGTAAAGGAAGAAGTCTTGACAATACGTAGAAAGAATATTCTACAAGTACTCAGAAAATCGAGGTCCTCAAGCACACAAATCGATCTTGTTTATACATGATAGAAACATCCTTGGGAGAACTACAAAAATAGCGTACTAAAATAATGCTTACTTACTTAATTTCGCCTGTTACCCCCAATGGGGCGTAGGCCGACCACCAGTTTTCTCCAACCAACTCTGTCCTGGGATTCCCTCTCCAGTTCTGTCCGGTGTTTGTTCATTCCTCTCATATCTTTCTCTATTTCTCGGCGTAATGTGTTCCTTGGCCTACCACTTTTCCTTTTGCCTTGAGGGTTTCATGTGAGAGCTTGTCTTGTGACGCAGTTAGGTGCTTTTCTTAATTTGTGTCCTATCCACTTCCACCACTTCTTCCTGATTTCCTCCTCCACTGGAATCTGGTGTCTGGCCAACGAATCCAAAGTACTTTGCGTAGACAACTGTTAATGAATACTTCAATCTTTAGGATGATGGCTTTCGTTGTTCTCCTACTGAAGTAATCAGTTACTTTTGACTTCTAATAAATAATACCTTTTCATATGCAAATCCTAATATCTTATAAAGTATTAGAAAATTCTTATTTTCAATGTTGTGTTTTTACTTTTGTTCTTCATTTTTAGAACCTATTCGTAATGCAATAACTGGTGAGAATTGTACAACTTATGATTATAATTCTGAAGTGAAAACTTCGAAAACACGTACACCAGTGAAAAGCTCCAATCCATTGAATGGTGAGAATGTGAACGCTTTTATGGTATCACAAGAAGAAAGACCACGTACAGCTAAACCTTATGGTAAGCTACTTAAATTCATTCACTAATTGTCGTACTTATCGATATTGTGATCGACATGCCACTGATGTTCACTGTGGGCCTCTGGTCAATAGATGACCTTCGTAGTCTTACACGCTACCGACTCATAGTTCACTTTCTTTACGGTTGTGATTTTGCATTGATTGGTCCTGTTATGTATGCACATAAACATGTCATGTTGATATGCTTGGATTATTGTGAGTTTACTTTAGTCGGAAAACGAGAGCGAGGATCGAGGATACGGTGACACAACAGGCTATTCTGATCCGACTGTCCCAACCCCCATTGAATAAAAGAAGAAGACTTGATATGAAGTAGAACGTGTATTCTACAAACATCCAGAAACTACGAGGTCCGAGTCCAGAAAAGGATCAGGATCCCGGAATAGGGATCCGGGTCATAAATGTTACAGATGATGCGTATTTATACATTTAGGTCGAATAGGAAACAGCATCGAAGTCTGTGACATTGACAGTTAAGGTGACCAATAAGAAACGTCACTGAAGTACGTGACATTGATAGCTAGGACGACCATAATATTGACCGATAGGAATCGACCAACAGAATTTACATATATAGAATGATTCTTCGTATGATATTTGGTGAATATCCTAACAGGTCTATAGTTTCTTTCCAACCGCTTTTAACCATCTTTTACCTTAGAAAAGCAAATACGATTTCAAGTCATTCAGACTTATGGTCAGCAAAATTGAATTTTAAATGTAATAGGGCTAGAGAAATGTGACAAAAGCCATCGCAAAATAGTCTATCAGTCATATATATAACTTCTCTATCAAGTTAGGCTTCGACTAAGCAACATAAAAAAAATTTGTATTACAATAAATAAATTTTTTCGGGCGGGGTTTTTGGAGGTTTATGTTTTTACACATTTGAAATCATCAATCAATCATTGTTAGACCACCATCAGAAACATGGAAGCACTGAATGACGGCCGTTTCGTCCTGGTATAGGACTCATCAGCAGTGTGCATCCACAACTCCTGCTCCTCACAGGATTCGAACCCGGGACCTTCGGTATCGTGCGCGAACACCTAACCATCGCACCACTGGGCCGGCATCCGACAGTGTTAATGTCTAACTCTGATTGATCTAGTGATTTTGGTAGTAGTTACTGCCTACATCCGACAGGGTTGAACTCCATCGGTCACGTCTTCTCATCACTAGAACTCCGAGTATTTCCTCACGAAGCTAGTAACTAGTGAGCAGTGTTACGATATTTTCGGGCAGAGTTTAAAACATTCTCTTCAAAATGTTTTATTGTAAAAAGAGATGGATAGTTACTAACAATGGAAATCAGGACGCTGGTTTTGTCCTCTCTGAGACTCATTTGTCATTCGATATCACTTTCATTCCTCAGAGATGATATTCACTCTGGGACTCGAACTTAATAACCTTCTCTTTAAACACTCTCATACTAACCACTCAGTAACTGAGTTCAGACAACCACTCAATATAATAACTATGTACTATTATCAGTTAGTTTGATTTTAGCTATTTAGTTATCTGTGAAAGAGGGAAAGTTTAATCTTTTTTTTGTTAAAACAACTTACACTATAACACTTCATGTATCAAACCAGGAAAAAAATTATACAGTATTTCGCACCACAAAAATATATTCTGTGAGTAGCAGGAGTCATGGATGCGCACTGCCAATGAGGAGTCCAATACTAGGACGTAACGGCTGTCCAGTGCTTCCAGAATTTCGGTACATTCATCAAATGAATTCTAATTAGAACGAATAGCACACCTTAAATTCGATTGCTATCAACATACTGAACATGTCGATGCTTAGCACGAACAGAGTTGGATGTTGGATGTTGGATGTTGGCTAAGTGGTCCAGAAGTTGTGCGTTTGCGTGCAAAACCAAAGGTCCAGGGCTCAAATCTTGCTGGTAGCATGAGTTGTGGAGTCTCACTGCCAATGATGAGTCCAAAACCAGGACGAAACTGCCTTAAAGTGCCTCCAGGTTTCTAATGCTTGGTCTAACAATGATTGATTGATGATCTTAATGTTTTTTAAAAATATGTCTGTTCATTAAAGTTAGAAAGATTTTAATCAGTAAAGACTTTATCATATTGCAGACTATTATTTACGAAGTGAATAATCACGGATTGCATACCTACTGATTTAAAGGCTAGACAGATGCTGCATCAACTCACATTTCTGTGTTCAATCTCTAGTAGAAATCATGAATATGAACTATGGAGGAGCTGTACACGAAGAAGAAACATGTGTTCAATATTCCTAAGTTTCTCGTTTTAATATAGTAGCGTACAAATGTCAATAATTTTGATGAAACACATTAATGTGAATTCTTTTGTTATGGTTATTTCTTTTTGATTATTTTATCATAGTTTACAGAAATACAGTGACTGGTGAAAATCTTCAAAGTTATAAAATAACACCGATTGAAAGAAATGTTACTCCTAGAGAAGTGAAAGGTTAGTTCACGCAATCAATGTTTACAAGTTTCACATGTTATGTAATTGTTATAATGCTGCTATGTAGCTATTGAAACAAATCCTACCGACATCCGAATTCAAATATTCCAATACGACCTCAAATACTATTCCCCAAATCTCCAAAATATAGATCAGAACGCAACACCGTTGGATGGAGTTGTTTATTGGGTCGAGTACAGAAGAGAGGTAGGCAGGAAGGAACGGAATCATGAAGTCTTACAGATTGCGATTATTTATACCTATAGGTAGAATAAGAAACAGCATCAAAGTCTTTGACATTGACAGTTTAGGACGACGACCAATAGGAAAGAACATTTGAAATGACACTGACAGTCTGGATGACCAATAAGAGACAACATTGAAGTATTCGACCAATAGGATTATACTTCCAAAAGTAATACTTACAGGATATTTGGTGAATATCCTAACAGTAATATGTAGTGATATGTAGTGATCAATCACATTTGGTACAATCACTAATATAGTCACTGAGATCTATATTTCGATTCTTTTGGTTAATTGTCTAATTACTTACTTACCTACTTACTTACTTACTTACTTACGCACTTACTTACCTACCTACTAACTAACTAACTAACTTACTTACTTACTTACTTACTTACTTACTTATGCACTTATGCACTTATGCACTTACTTACTTACTTACTTACTTACTTACTTACTTACTTACTTACTTACTTACTTACTAATTTACTTACTTATGCACTTACTTACTTACTTACTAACTTACTTACTTACTTACTTACTTACCTACTTACTTACTTACTTACTCACTTGCTTACTCCTGTTACCTTTCATCTTTCATCATTCTCTAAAACTGATCTGTTTAGGGCATTCTTTGCCATCGCCATCCAACTGCTATTCATTCCTTCGACTTCTGCTGAAAATTCTCGCTGTGATGTGTTCTTTAGTCTTCCTCTTTTCTTTCGACCTTGAGGGTAGCAAGTGAGGGCTTGTCTTGTGATGCAGCCGGGTAATTTCATAAATGTGTTTGTCCTATGCACGTCCAACGCTTTCTCCTAGCTTCCTCTTCAACTGGAAATTCCAATTAATTTAATTGAATGGAAAACGGATAAGAAACTCATGAGAAATATTCTAGGAAGTTCTCATAAGCAGTTAGAAAATGATTGAAAGTACTTAGGCTAATCAATGTTCAAAAAAAAACTTGCTACAAACTTTCAACGAACAAACGGTAAATTACTGATCATATTTACTGATTGGACAATTACCAATTCTGTGGCAGATTTAGCATATTTTCAGAAAGTTTCGGAACGTCACAGCGACTCATACCTATAAATAAGCTTTTTCTTTATTATTTCCAATTGATGTCATCAAACAGGGATGTCACAATAAAATATGGTACTATTTGTAACATCAGTGATAGTTGGTTTGAACCTTATATAGCAAATTACACGTAGTTTGTACCAGACTTACTTAATTACTCCTGTTAGCCCTAGTGCAGTATAGGTCACCGACCAGTATTCTCCAACCTACTCCGTCCCGGGCTTCCCTTTCTAGTTCTGTCCAACTGTTGTTCATTCTTCTCCCATGTGTGCCTTCATTTCTCAGCGTAATGTGTTTTATGGTATTACACTTCTCCTTTAGCCTTAAAGATTCCAAGTGAGCACTTGTCTAGTGAGGCGGTTGAGTGCTTTCCCCAAAGTTCTTGTGTTCTATCCACCGACTCCGGCGCTTCTTCTTGGTTCGCTCTCTCCTATACTAGGTGGTTGTGATAGTGCCTGGCCAACGGATCGGAGGTATTTTGTGTTGACAACTGTTAATAAATACTTGTAGCAGAACAAGTTGTAAAATATCCATTGAACACATTGCCCTCTATGTTTGTTTTTCTTCAGTTGGAAGCTGAGTTGTCATTGGATACTCTCATAAACCTGGTTTGAAATTACATAATATTGTCAACCACCGTAAATAAGTCGCAATTAAATGGATTAGGTTGATTACTACTTCATTCGATATAAGTAGTATAAAATTACGCTGAAAAAATATTGTTTTAATCATAACAAGTTAACAGATAAAAATTTATTTTGATTTTTTATCAATACAGATCGACAAAATCCTCTAAGTGGTGAGAATGTTGAAAGTTATACTTATCGTTTAGGAGAATCTAAAAGAACTGTAAAGAAACGAGGTGAGATGTAGCATATTTCTTTTCAAATAGTTTTATTCAAAATGATATTTTTATGAGTTGAAACAAATTTCGACACAGAATCGTATCTTATTTCTAGCTAATTTGAAGCTAGAACGAATTGTCCTTTATGTGTGCATGGTAAATAATTCACCTTCAGTTTACACACTCTAACGTCGAGGAATATGAGAGAGAGAAAGGTGAATATTATCAAGGTAGCTTAGAGTATCCATAAGAGAAATCGAAAATATCATACTACTAATATGCTCATACTGCACCAAAGACGACCTTTGGAAACATTACAAAATGGTAAAATTGCGGGAGGTAGTAACCAATAACAGAGATGGTGATCAGCGGAGTTCAACCCTGTTTGGATGCCAAACAGTGTTAGATTGGTTAAAGTTAGACATTAACACTGTAAGTTACCAGCTTAGTGGTTCAGAGGTTAGGAGTCCATGTGCAAGACCCCAGGTCCTAGTCCGAATCCTGAGGGTTGCGGGAGTCATGGACACGCATCGCTGATGAGTTCCATATCAAGACGAAACGGCCGCTACGTGATTTCAGGTTTCTAATAATGATCTAACATTGATCGACTCACGAACTAAAAAAATAAAGGGGATACGATCAATATGAAGGTGCAGACGGAGACAGATTAGGGCCAATAACCGCCACCACTGTGACCAACAGAAGAAACTACGAGTCCTCCGTGGAGGAATTCGAATCCTTCACTTCTTCTACCTGAAGTTTGTGCTGGTGATGTTGTGTTCAGAAGAGAATAACGAGAGCTCCACAATCAAATATCCAGCTCAGCGAATAAAACTCAACCACAAATAACAGTATAATAAGGATAAGTACTCCGCTTGAAGTCATTCTAGGAGTACTGCTAGTCCCAAGCCCGAGTAAAGGAAGAGGGTTGTACATGAAGTTGGCTACCCTATCCTCAGAAAACTAACTCGCTGAAAAAATGCTAATATTGATATGATATTAATCCAATATCCTAATAGAATTATTGGTCGATTCCTACTGGTCACATTATGGTCGTCCTAGATATCAATGTCATGTACTCTAATGTCGTTTCCTATTGGTCGAATTAACTGTCAATGTCACAGACTATGATGCTGTTTCCTTCTCGACCTAAATGTATAAATACGCATTACGTGTAACGTTTTATGAGCCGGACCCAGATTCCTAGTCCAGGATCCTGATTCTCTTCTGGACTCGAACTTCGTACTTTTTGGATGCTTATAGAATACATGTTCTACTTCATATCACGCCTTCTTTGTTTAACTAAGTGTGCGGGTTCGGATAATCAGATTAGAATAGCTTGTTATGTCGCCGGATCCTTGATCCTCGCTTTCGTTTCCGACTAACGGGTAAACTCGTACTTTCAGGATGTTTGTAGAATACAGGTTCTACCTCATATCAAGTCTTCTTATTTTTCGCTCAATATGGGGGTGGGGACAATCAGATTAGAATAGCCTGTTGTGTTGCCGTATCCTCGATCCTCGCTCTCTTTTTCCGACGAAGAGGTAAACACACGCAATAGTTCAAGCAAATCAAGCACACTTCAACGAAATATTTGTATATGATTAACAAAATGCACATAGAAATAATTTGAAAAAACTTGTAGCATATTTATTAGTGTTTTTAGGGGCAGAGTTTTGGAAGTTTGCGTTTTTACACAATTGAAATCATCAATCAATCATTGTTAGACCACCACAATTAGAAACATGGAAGCACTGAATGACGGCCGTTTCGTCCTGGTGTGTGACCACTCATCAGCAGTGCGCATCCACGACTCCTGCACCTCGAAGGATTTGAACCCGCGACCTTCGGTATTGTGCGCGAGTGCCTAAACACCGGACCACTGGGCCGGCATCCAATGGTGCGAGTGTCTAACTCTGATTGATCTACGGGTTTCGCGCGACCTCACCCATTTGTCTTTTTGGTAGTAGTTACTGTCTATACCCGACAAGGTTGAACTTCATTGGTCACGTCTTCTCAACTAGAACTCAGAGAATTTCCTCACGAAGCTAGTCACTAGTGAGCACTGTTACGATATTTCCGGGGCAGAGTTTTGGAGGTTTGCGTTTTTACACATTTGAAATCATCAATCAATCATTGTTAGACCACCATTAGAAACCCGGAAGCACTGAATGACGGCCGTTTCGTCCTGGTATGGGACTCATCAGCACTGCGCGACCTCACCCATTTATCTTTGGTAGTTACTGCCTACACCCAACACGGTTGACAATTGAAATGTTTAATTAACTATGTCGAAATATTTCATAGTAAATAATTGTTATAAATTAAATTTGTTTTTGATAAATAGATTTTTCGTCTGATCAGTAAAACCATATCAAATTAGTTCAATGCGTTGTTTATAATGAACTCATCAATGAACTAATTAAGATGTGGGGTTAAGTGCGAAATAGTTTTTTTTTTCACTCTATTGTAATGAATCTGTCTGTTTTTTTAGCGGCGAAATAAAACTACGCTTCGGTTTGCAATCACAGAAGCCAGTAGTATGATTTATTATTTCTTAATTTTTTCGCAACTTAAAAAAAATTATACAAGTTTGATGATATTCAGGATGCATAACTTGTCGTATTTCAAAGTCGTTTGTAACTTCACATACCTGTATCCTAGAGTTGATGTACAGCCCAGGACTCGAACCTAAAAACCATTCACTTTAAATGCCATCGTATCCTCCACTTGAATACTAAGCTCAGATAGTCGCTAGATTTTTTCAAATAGGTGAATTTCCAATTCATTGATTTTGAAGCTCTGCTGTGATGGTCAGCTTAGGTGATGAAGGTATTTGATGAGTCCTAAACAGGATGAAACACACATCCTGGATTTTATTGAGTTATATGATTTGTATGACAGTCAGTCAGATGCAACGTAGAACTTTGTACCTAAGTACATCAGTTCATGTTGCCATGTCACATTAGCACAGACAGGTGGAATTGTCAATTCAAATCCAATAGAGTAGTAGAGGTAGTAAAGGTATTAGAAGTAATTGGAGAGGTTAGGATTAAAAGATATTATTCAAGAAGTATGATTCAGTGAGAAAAGTTTAGAAAGTCAAAACTAGAGGTGTTGAAGAATACAGAAGATTAGGATTTGAGAGAACACAGAGAATAAAAGCACCTGCGAGATTGTAAACGATTTTGAGCCATGTCATTCAGGGTCTCTAACCATCGAGATTTTTAAGACACTAACCATAGACTTAAAAATTAATACTCGTAAAAATTCTGTTAATCTGTTAATCTCGTATTTGAAGATTTTAAAATCATTTAAAATATTCCCTCACCTAAATAATGAATGTAAGACCAGCATTAGAAACCTGAAAGTTCCAGACGGCCGTTTCATTCTGGTTTGAGACTCATCAGCAATGTGCAGGCACGACTTCCACTCGCGTGAATCGAACCCAGGACATTTGGTCTTGCGCAAGAACGTGAATCGATCAAATTTAGACATTATAACTGCTGGATACTGGCTTTGTGACTTAGAAGTTAAGCGTTCTTGCTCAAGACCGAGGGTCCTCGGTTCGATTCTTTCTGGCGGGAGTTGTAAATGCGAACTGCTGATGTGTTGTATGCTAACACGAAAGAGTCTTTCAGTGCCTCCAGCCTTCTAATAGTTGTTTAACATTGATCGATTCATGATTTCAATTAAACTCAACAATCTCCACAACCCTATGCCTTGGAAAAAATCTTCGGCAGGCTGTTTTATGAGTTTAGTATCATATTTTATCATTAGAAAAACTTTCTGCATGTCAATTAGGATTTAGAATATCTCCAAAATTCCAGTGTTAGCAATTCAAAACTGAGGCCCTTCAAAGTCAAAGACTATGGATCCATCCTCCTATCGATTTATAGACACCATGATTGAAGCCTTCTGTGTAGAATTTTGTTAACTAATATTCACTAATTCGATTCCTAAATTTACAAATATTTCCCATGTGATTCGAATCAGCTACATCTGATCTCATAGTAAATGGTGATTCAGACAACGAAATGATCTTTTGTAACAATGAGCTGTTTTCACCATTTTCTCGGAGTGAGTAAAAAACAATGTCTCGGTGTCGACTATTCAATCCTAATAACCCTGATCACATCGATTACTTACTTAAGGTTATGTTATGCTTGAATGCTATTACGAGTTCACATTAGTCGGTAAACGAGAGCAAAGATGAATGATCCATTGACATGATAGGCTAGTCTAATCTGAGCGACCTAAGGCCCAACTAAGTAGAGGGAGAGGTATCTATAAAAGGAAGTATGTGTATTCTACAAGCACCCAGAAAATATGAGGTTCGATGAGCACACAAATCGAGTTTATTTATACATGATAGAAACGTCTTTGGGAAAGCCATAAAAATAGTATTCTAAAATAACGCACTGACCAATGACAATCAAGTATTTTCTCGGGTGGGAAATGTGATCTCAAGGTCAACTGATAGGCCAATGCGCTAAAGCATAAAATCCGAAATTGGGACCTTTATCAAGTGAGTTGTGAGGATCTAACGACCCCGACACGTTAAGAACAAAGATTTGATATACAATTTTAAAGAAAGTTTAAATACAAGTTATAATTGTTTTGAATGTTGTTGAACTTTCTTTCTCAACTACAACGATAAAGCTGACATTAACGTTTTCTTCCGTTTCATTTAACCCATCTCATTTCTAATCCCAATAGATCTTAGCTCACCATTAACAGGAGATGGTTCACGTGGTCGTTCATATACTATCTCTATTGAAGAGAAACATTCATCACAACCGAATTTAAATCGAAATGGACATGACCCAGCAAATCGTACACTATCATCAAAAAGTCTACGAAATATACTGACAGGTGAAAATTGTGATACATATAGTGTATGTCAAGAGATGCGTAGTGAAAAATGTGACAGCTCTACAGTTCTAATGATGAATGGTGGGAATTCACATAGAAAAAGTAAGATTTATACGTTGACATTTCAAGTGATTTTTTTTTTAATGGCCCACGATGTGACTCCTGATTGGTTGGATAATTTCAATGTGATATGAAATGAATCGTTCATTTAATTTCTGTATATCATCGTTATTAGGTGAACACTGTTTGTGCGATGATAGTCAATAAGAAGCCAAAGACAGATGAGGTAAAGTGAAGTGAAGCGAAGTGAATAAGCTTAGTTAAGGCGATGAAGTATGACTAAGTTTTTATAGTCAGACAAAAATAGGGTAGACATGTTGTTATGTTCGTCACTAGGTACGTTTGAAGCTATTACGGGTTTAACTTAGTTGATAAACGCGAACGAGACAATGAACCAGCGTCCAGATAGGCCACCTTGAATCCCAAGTTGAAGTAAAAAGGCTTTGTAAGCGTAGAAAGTATATTCTACAAATACCCGGCAATCACACAATACAATCAAACATACCACTCTCGTTTATTTATACATCATAGAAACGTCCTTGAGACAGTTAAGAAAATAGCACATTAAAATACACAGCAGCCAATCACAGTCATGGATTTTCCTGGTGGTAAATGAAATCTCAAGGTGAACTGATCAGCCCATGCTGGCAAACGTGAAAACCAAAATAAGGCATTTACCAAGTGAGTTTCGGGGATCTACCATCCCCAGCACATGTTATAACCGATAAAACCGATCAAGTTATAAGCGAATAATTGACAAAATCAAAAGACAAGTGAATCGTAGTGACACGCTCCAAGAAAAGGATGATTAGTTTGCCCGAAAGCTAGGACAAGCACTTTGGGCTCAATCTACAAATTATTGTGAACTTGAAATATTGTCATTTGACGCCACATTAAGGATCTAAGGACAACATAACTGATGTGTAGTTTGAAATTTTCGGTTTCAGAGACAGAACCCAAGATAACATTCATGTCTTGATTCTAAAAGGTTATCTTTGTGATTTGAGTTTTAAAATCAGTTTCAACCATTTCATTAACCGATCTAGATAAATCATATCAGTCATAGTTTCTCACATTACCTAATGAGCTGGAGATAACTCATTGAAATGACGAATCAGGAGGAAATAACAAGAACTAGCGCCTCTTCAACCTCACACCAGAATATGCCAAATATCCAGTACTCTTTGGTTGAAATGTGTTTCACTAGATCTGATGATTGTCATTTTCTATCCTGATGTGTGTTCAATTGATACTCTATTTTCGTGTGAAGTGATTACACCAAAGTTTTGTGTATCCTTACATTACATTTCATCGTTTCACATCTTTCCTAAAACGTACATTTTAAAATAAGTCATAAGTCACCTTTTCCCAGAAACTGTACCATTCTTAGTCACTTTATATCATTTTCGCACTTCAAACTCATGACCTTGACATTTTTGTCTTCCTCACAATCATCGAAATGAAGCAATCATCATCAATTCTGTTCAGTTATCAACATGCTATATCGGAAATGTAAACTGCTTGATAACCATTCTCAGTGATCATCTGATTTGTTGAGTTCAATCTTTGTTACATCATCATAGTAGTAGTGTAGTGAAGGAGAACACAGGTGAGGGCAACCGAATTGTATTTATCGCAAATTACAAAGTTACTCAGTAAAATAGGAAAACCATATTGTAACCGTTAATTTGCAAATCTTCAATCCATCATCAATCCATTGTCTGACATTTCACTCACTATTCATGCGTTTCATACAAATTCCGTTGTGTTCCCACTCTTCCTTTCTTGATCTTCCCCCATCTTCTGCTGCCAGACATTACGTATTCACTCGCGTCATATACTACTTTTAAGTAGCGCGCACCATAGTAGTAATAGTAGAATAGAGCATGTGTAGATATGATTGGATGTTAACGTTTATCCTAAGGAATGACCTTGATCAATGAACCAATCACAACATGAGTTCCATTCGAGCATAAGACTACTTATAAAGATGTGAATTTTGCAAGCCTAACAGTGCTCAAACTTTCAGAATATATAGCCAATAATTTTTTAAACTTTTTCCCCATTTCTTATCAAAATAATTTTTAAGAAAAAACAGAAGTTATCACATTGTAAATGTCAGCATGAATTAATTTGATGAATAGAAGATATTTTTCTTCAGAAAATTGTTATTCATGGTGACATAATGAATTCGTTTATTTTCATTTTGAGAAACAAAAAATAAGAAAAGTCAAATTTGATTCCATCTAGACAGAATTCATCTAGTGAATGTGAGGATGAAACATAAGTGTTTTTCTTGTTTTAATGAATATCAATGATCAACATTCAATGATCAATTGTATTCCATTCATCATTCAACACTAATCAATGTTTGTATACATGACATTCATTGATAGTGGGGGAATATTATGTAATCAGATATAAGTGATTTCATGTTAGCCTGAGACAATTAACGATAGTGTCTTTCAAAATAAGTGAAGTTTTTGTTAAAATATGTAATTTTGTTATCAGAAAGCTGATGCTAACCTAATATGGAGATAAGTGTTTTTATACACTTAACTCATCAATCAATCATTGTTGGACCACCATTAGAAACCTTGAATCACTGGACGGTCGTTTCATCCTGGTATGGGGTCGATCAGCACTGCGCATCCACGACTCCTGCACCTTGCACGATTCAAACCATTGGTCTCGCGCGCGAACCTCTAACCTCTGGACCACCACCGAAAGTGCTAGGTTCGAATCGTGTGAGGTGCAAGAGTCGTGGATGAGCACTGCCACTGATGAGCCCCATACCAGGACGAAACGGCCGTCTTTCAGTGCTTTCAGGTTTCTAATGGTGGTCTAACCATGATTGACTGATGATTTCGATGTGTATATATATGTATTCATTTGAATTGGTGATACCAATAGGAGCCATATTAAGCAAAGTGAAAAGATTTAGTGGGATTGGAAATTCACAACCAGATAAATTTCAAATTAAATATACTGGAAATCCTAGCAATCAGTTTTAAAGATACTATATTATAATTTCGAAAGTTCAGTGCTTCATGATTATAGGCAGATTACGCAGTGAGTGAGTAAGTGAGCTTAGCGAACTCGCAAGCATTGTTCAATTTTCCCTATAGGTTGCATAATTCTTCTCTAGTTAAAAATTAATTTTTAGATGAAAATTCGAAACAAGAATTATGCAAGAATCTTCGATTTGTAATCTCTACTTCATTTAAAATCTAACTGACATTCATGTTGTATCCTTAACCGCTAATCAGCATCACGTGACTAATACAAAAGTACCAATCAGAATAACGTATCTGGGACCTGAAACCTTGAAACAGCTTGAAATGCTTATTGGTCTGCAATTTGATAGCACCTCTCTTTCTACTCTATCTCGTAGTTCGGAAATCCGTTGGCCAGTTTTCACAATTTTCGTTGGGTTTTAAGTAGATGTATGCCAAAGGTAATACACAATGATAATCCTTACATCACTCCTGGAAGTAACTGTTTCTCTAAACTTCTCCCTGATTTAACATCTCCATTTATTAGTATACACAGGCATCACTCTTCTCTCAATACCAGGAAAAGTCTTCAACAGAGTATTGTTAAACAGAATGAAGGACTTCGTAGACGCCCAACTTCGAGATCAACAGGATGGATTTCGTAAGGATCGATCTTGTACTGAACAAATGGCAATCATTGTGGAACAATCAATTGAATGCAACTCACCACTCTACATCAACTTCATCGAATATGAAAAAGCATTCGATAGTGTGGACAGGAAAACACTGTGGAGGCTTCTTCGACACTACAGTGTGCCTGAGAAAATAGTTAACATCATACGGAATTCTTACGATGGATTAAATTGCGAAATCGTACACGAAGGACAGCTAACAGACTCTTTTGAGGTGAAGACCGGTGTCAGGCAACGTTGCTTACTCTCACCCTTTCTCTTTCTCCTGGTCATCGAATGGATTATGAAGAGGTCAGCATCTGGAGGGAAGCACGGTATCAACTGGACAGTTAGGATGCAGCTGGACGATCTGAACTTCTCAGATGACCATCTCACGAGCAACAACAAATGCGAGAGAAGACGACTAGTGTAGCAGCAGCCTCTGCCGCAGCAGCTCTCAACGTACATAAAGGAAAAAGCGAAATTCTCCGATGCAACACAACATGCACCAATCAAATCACGCTTGATGGAGATGCCTTGGAGGACGTTAACACCTTTACATATCTTGGCAGCATCATCGACGAGAAAGGTGGATCTGATGCAGATGTGAGGGCGCGGATTGGCAAAGCAAGGGCTGCATTTCTACAGTTGAAAAATATCAGGATTTTCAATACAAATGTCAGGACAGTTCTGCTCTATGCAGCGGAAACTTGGAGAACTTCCAAATCCATCATCCATAAGAATAATTGTGATGCCTGTGCATATTTTTAACATCAGCCCGTCAACACTTTTATCTCTTTATCGATTTTTGGCCAGTATATGAAAGCAAAGGGCTATAAACTTTATGCAACTCACACTGGGATGAAAACAGTCTATAAGCCTCAGTATTGATCGTTGAAGGCGATTAGGAACGTCAACCAGATTCACAAAAACAGACCGAAGTTGTCTACAATTGACAGAGAGTCTCTTCTACTTCTTCTGTGAAACAGTTTCAAGTCCCATGAATGAAAATGTTGGATCAGTCACAACGACGATATTGCATTAGTTTACAAATTATAGGATTATTCTTGCTGAAATCTACTGTACTTTGGAAAACACTGTGGACATTATTCTCGATCTTAGTGTTGAATGTCTGAGTTGGGAGTGAAATCTTAGTTTCTAATTACGATCTAATTTTGACAGGAGAATTACCAAAATTCTATTGAAAAACAGTGCAAAATTGAATTCAATCACATTATAACTAACATGATTATATGCTCGTCAATCAATATGCTAGAATTCTAGCACGAGTTCACCTTAGTCGGTAAACGGAACAAAATCAATGACTCAGTGACACGATAGTCTATTCTAATCCATTTGTCCCAGCCCCGTGCTA